CCAATCCAACCATTTCAGATCGGCCATAAGACACTCTGTACTTTATGCTGTCATAAGATTCAGATTCAGATTCAGAGCATGACGTTATGGTTGTCCCAGACAGCCATTCCAATTAAGGTCACACCGGGGGTTCCTCCTCCTTCCAAGGGACAATGTTTTATAGCTAATCTCATGCTATTCTATACATTTTGCCATGAGGCTGAGAGAACATTTCGCAGTTTTAAAGCTAATCTCCTGCTATTCTACACATTTTGCCCTGAGGCTGAGAGAAAATGTTGCAGTTTTAAAGCTAATAACAGGGGCTGCGGGGGTGTGTGCTACGCCTCTGTGTGTGTGTGTGAATTATTAATAGGTGACAGTGAGATTTCTATTGATCTTCAGTGTGGTTGACGGAACTCACACAGCCAGTGGTTGAGGTAATGAGGATCATCAAAAGAGATACAGCCTACTGGAGGTACAGTTCGATGGTTACGTTTACTTTAAACAATAAACTCAGAGTGATTTTTAGCTGCAAGTCAGAACCACCAATAATGTTTTGGGGTAGGACTGGATAGTAGAGACAATATAGGATGACTACAACTATGTTAAATAATCATTCATTAAATATCACAAAGTTCATCTGAAAGCCACTTCCTTGGAACAGAACCAAGCAGACAACATACGCTAGTAAATTGTAAATCTAGGATGTTTACGGTTTGTGGATTGAATCATGCATGACTAAAACAGTGACATCACTGCGTGTAGAGTGAGGGAAAGTATGTTGGGTGGAACAGTATCTGTCAGGAGAAGGATAGGAGCCCAGAATACAGCTAGGGCTTTATAACACCACTGGGTTTCATCTAATGGGTTTTCACAAAGTTACACAATGCAAACGTGTGTGGCTGTATTGTGTTTATATTGTCAAATTAAAAATCAAATTAAAAAATCAGTTGACACGAGTAGCAGAATAATAGTGTGTCTGTTTGTCTATCCAGCTATGGCTCTGGCTCACCGTGTCGCCGGCCTCAGTACGGACACAGCTGTGAGAGGCTGTCTTCCCACTCCTCCTCTGGATTCTCTCCACACTCACTGCCTGTGGAGAGAAGAGAGAGAGGAGAGGGAGGTATGAGAGGGAGGGAAGTTAAGAAGGAATGAGGGAATAGAGGAGAAGAGAGGGGAGGGAGAAAAGGGAGGAGAGAAAACAAAGGCTGTGTTTAGACAGGCAGCCCAACTCTGATCATTTTTTCCACTAATTGGTTTTTGGACCAATCAGATCAGATCTTTTCACATCAGCTCTTTTTCAGCGCTGATCTGATTGGTCAAAAGATCAATTTATGAAACAAATATCAGAATTGGGCTGTGTGTCTAAATGCAGCCTTAATGACATGCCATAAAGATAGTGCTGTTAATATGAAGCTTATTAAGCTTATGCTGAATACTAGCTATATTATGCTGAAAACATGTTGCTCATACCAATCCTCACCCTGATTCATAGTGACACATTAAGCTGAGTCCATCTTACTCATGGATATGGGATATTAAGCTTAAACACACAGTGAGACCGAGGGGCCACAGTGTACCTTTTGATTACTGATCTGTTTACTTACAGTATATTTACATTAACTGCACTATGCTAACAAATAACCAGAGAATGGCCACTATGATGACTGGAATCAAAATAGTTATTATTAACATGTTTGGCCACTCTAAAATCCACTGTAAAAGCATATTGCCTTTTGGCACATACAGTATATGCTGTTGAATAAAATGGCAGTTTTAAAATGTTAGTTCACAATCACACTGGATTAGGCCATGTCCCATACTACTCATACACAGAGTATAAAGACTTTTTAAAGTGTAAAGTTATGACTCCGTTCTACTAGGCTACTTCCTATACCTTACGGCTCTTTACGGCCCTGGTGTTAAGGCCTATCTCCTGGTCCAGCCTATTGTACGTCAAGGTGAATATGTGTTAAAAAACAAATCGGCCCCTGGGTTTGTTGAGTGTTTCACTCTGCTCTACTACTTCCTATACCTTACGGCTCTTTACGGCCCTGGTGTTTAGGTCTATCTCCTGTTCCAGACGGCTCTGGGTGCGGCGCAAGGCCTCGCGGAGCAGGGAGCTCTCCTGGCTCTCCGTCTCCAGCTCGGCCCTCAGCGTATCCAGACTGGCCTGGAGTTGCTGGCCCTCTGCCTGGCTCTCCCTGGGTGGGGGAGGGGAGGGAAGCAGAGGGGGAGGACAGATGTAATATAGACACTTATCAATGATCAAATACCCCTAACTACAATCCCGTTTCAAGTCACTTGAGGCAGGTGGGTTTTCTACTCAAATGAGTCAACACATTACGTAAACTCCAACCAATAAAAGTAGGTCAAATAAATAGTTGAATCCTTGTGTTGCTCCTACAGTAGCATTGCTCTTATAACTTAATAACTACAGTTGAAGTCGGAAGTTTACATACACTTAGGTTGGAGTCATTAAAACTAGTTTTTCAACCACTCCACAAATTTCTTGTTAACAAACTATAGTTTTGGCAAGTCGGTTAGGACATCTACTTTGTGCATGACACAAGTAATTTTTCCAACAATTGTTTACAGAAAGATTATTTCACTTAGAATTCACTGTATCACAATTCCAGTGGGTCAGAAGTTTACATACACTAAGTTGACTGTGTCTTTAAACAGCTTGGAAAATTCCAGAAAATGATGTCATGGCTTTAGAAGCTTCTGATAGGCTAATTGACATCATTTGAGTCAATTGGAGGTGTACCTGTGGATGTATTTCAAGGCCTACCTTCAAACTCAGTGCCTCTTTGCTTGACATCATGGGCAAATCAAAAGAAATCAGCCAAGACCGCAGAAAAATAATTGTAGTCCTCCACAAGTCTGGTTCATCCTTGGGAGCAATTTCCAAACACCTGAAGGTACCACGTTCATCTGTACAAACAATAGTACGCAAGTATAAACACCATGGGACCACGCAGCCGTCATACCGCTCAGGAAGGAGACTCGTTCTGTCTCCTAGAGATTAACGTACTTTGGTGCGAAAAGTGCAAATCAATCCCAGAACTACAGCAAAAGACCTTGTGAAGGTGCTGGAGTAAAATTATCTATATCCACAGTAAAACGAGTCCTATATCGACATAACCTGAAAGGCCGCTCAGCAAGGAAGAAGCCACTGCTCCAAAACCGCCATAAAAAAGCCAGACTACAGTTTGCAACTGCACATTGGGACAAAGATCGTACTTTTTGGAGAAATGTCCTGTGGTCTGATGAAACAAAAATATAACTGTTTGGCCATAATGACCAATGTTATGTTTGGAGGAAAAGGGGGTGGCTTGCAAGCTGAAGAACACCATCCCAACCGTGAAGCACGGGGTGGCAGCATCATGCTGTGGGGGTGCTTTGCTGCAGGAGGGACAGGTGCACTTCACAACATAGATGGCATCATGAGGAAGGAAAATGATGTGGATATATTGAAGCAACATCTCAAGACATCAGTCAGGAAGTTAAAGCTTTGTCGCAAATGGGTCTTCCAAATGGACAATGACCCCAAGCATACTTCCAAAGTTGTGGCAAAATGGCTTAAGGAGAACAAAGTCAAGGTATTGGAGTGGCCATCACAAAGCCCTGACCTCAATCCTATAGAACATTTGTGGGCAGAACTGAAAAAGCGTGTGCGAGCAAGGAGGCCTGTAAACCTGACTCAGTTACACCAGCTCTGTCAGGAGGAATGGGCCAAAATTCACCCAACCTATTGTGGGAAGCTTGTGGAAGGCTACCCGAAACGTTTGACCCAAGTTAAACAATTTCAAGGCAATGCTACCAAATACTAATTGAGTGTATGTAAACTTCTGACCCACTGGGAATGTGATGAAAGAAATAAAAGCTGAAATAAATAATTATCTTTACAATTATTCTGACATTTCACATTCTTAAAATAAAGTGGTGATCCTAACTAACCTAAGATAGGAAATTTTGTATTATGATTAAATGTCAGGAATTGTGAAAAAAAGAGTTTAAATGTATTTGGCTAAGGTGTATGTAAACTTCCGACTTCAACTGTATTTAAGCAGATAGTGGGTGACTGACACTGGTCCTCCTGTGTGTAGCTCAGTTGGTTAGAGCATGGTGCTAGCAATGCCAAGTTCTTGGGTAAAGATTCTGTAGGGATTACATACACATTATAAAAATGTATGCACTCACTATACTATAAATTGCTTTGGATAAAAGCGTCTGCAAAGTGGCACATTTGTAGTAATGTCATGAAAATTCACTATTGAGGAAAGGGATCTATTTCAAGGCCCTGTATTCCCTTGGTTTACCTCCCTACCTGAGAGTAGTCATTTCTCTGTGTTGCTGCTGCAGTAGGGATTCCCTTCGCTGGGCCTGGCTGTGCTGTAGGGCCATGCGGCTCCGGAGCAGCTCCAAGTCTGCGTGACGCAAAGAATACAGACTGGCCCTCTCCTCCTGGGGCAGGTGCTGCAGCGACACACACCCCTGCAGCTGGCCCTCGCTCAACTCCAGAGCCTCGCACAGCGCCCGTGCCAGATCCAGATACTGAGTGCGAGAAAGAGAAAGAGAGAGAGAGAGAGAGAAAGAGAGAGAGAGAGAGAGAGAGAGAGAGAGAGAGAGAGAGAGAGAGAGAGAGAGAGAGAGAGAGAGAGAGAGAGAGAGAGAAGAAAGAAAGAAAGCAAGAAAGAAAGCAAGAAAGAAAGCAAGAAAGAAAGCAAGAAAGAAAGCAAGAAAGAAAGCAAGAAAGAAAGAAAGCAAGAAAGCAAGAAAGCAAGAAAGAAAGAAAGAAAGAAAGAAAGAAAGAAAGAAAGAAAGAAAGAAAGAAAGAAAGAAAGGAGACAGGGAGACAAAGACAGAATGAGAGGAGTAATTGATGATTAGTTGAATCAAGTAGGTGCTGGGCTAAGACAATAGCCTGCACACCCAGTAGCTCTCTAGGATTAGAATTGAAGAACACTGCAGCCCAGTCACCCATAGATGGCAATGGGGATACATTATGCTAAATGTCATATAGCTGTCATAGCCACCCACACTCCCCCCCCTGAAAGCATCCTTCCACTCACTGTCCTCTCGCTGAGGTCCAGGGCGTCTGATAGGTCCAGTCTGGCTGTGCGCTCCAGGGTCTCTTCCCCCAATGCTCCAGGGAGCGGCCAGCCACTCTAGATTGAAATGATCATATAACATATGACATTACACAATACTACGTTGATAATCATAGTCATCAACATTAAGAGGAATTTCGCAGCAGAGTGAGTATTGGGACGTGTTCATTGAGTGCATTTAACAAAAAAACGTTTTAATATGTTTTGCAATGGAAAAAGAAAATGAGCATTTCTTATTCGACAAGATCAGGTAGTCCCTTCCTGTTTTCATTGTGTTTTCTTCCATTTGGTGCCTAATGAACATAACCCTGGAGTATGGTTATGCAGGCTAATACAGGTGGTTAGTGTCTTACTGTAGATGTGGCCAGGCAACCTGATCTCAGAGCATTTCGTATTATTCGGTACGTAAATCCGACACTCGATTCAGGATGATATGTTACGTTTCATATGGCATGTATTAATTTGTGGGTGTCCATCACCCATTTCGTATGATATGTTACGAATTACAATTCATATTATATGTTAAGAATTTGCAAAACATACAATATGTCACGAATTTGAGAAACATTCAATACGTTAAGAATTCTAGCTAGGAGGCTAACGTTACCTAGCTGGCTAATGTTAGCTGGATAAGGGGTTATGGTTAAGTTTAGGAGTTAGGTTAAAGGGTTAAGGTTAGGGTTAGGGGAAGGGTTAGCTAACATGTAGTTGCAAAGGGATGTAGCTCAGTTGGTAGAGCATGGCGTTTGCAACGCCAGGGTTGTGGGTTCGATTCCCACGGGGGGCCAGTATGAAAAAAAAAAAAGAATGTATGCACTAACTGTAAGTCGCTCTGGATAAGAGCGTCTGCTAAATGACTAAAAATGTAAATGTAAAAATGTAAGTAGCTAAAAAGTAGTAAGTAGTTGAAAAGTTGCTAATTAACTAAAATGCTAACGTTGTCCGTGATGCGATTCAAACTCGCAGCCTTTGGGTTGCTAGACATTCGCAATTTTGCCTTAAGTAACCATATTTCTTATGTAACCATACCAAACGTAACATCTCATACTAATATGAGTTCCCGGATGTACCTTTACTATGTTACGTTTAGTCTATGAGACCAGGCTGGGCCAGGTGCTTACCACTGCAGACTTCTGGGTGCTGAGTTTGCCCGCCTCATTCCCTGCTTGTTTCTTAGGTGCACCCTGCTGGGTGAAGCACTCTGAGGGAACAAACACTTACCCAAATCTCAGAGAAGAGGAACACTTTGGAGGACACAAAGTGTTATAATGTCTCCTAACTCATTAAATACATATAGAGAGAATGTACAGTGACATTGACCAAGGCATAGAGATAGGGAGCAGCACAAAAACGGCATATTTGAAAAAAATGATTTTCAAAGTGTTAGTCTTATCCCTACTTTTTCAGGGACCCCCTGAATGTTATCTGAGATAATCTGATATGGGGTCTTAGGGCCCCTGGTCACTGCCCTAATTGATCCTGCAATAGCCTTTGTCATGTTCAATTATATCACATGGGAGCAAAACATGCTGTTTGCAGGCTTTCTTTCTATATTCATGGAGTTTTGACCTTGCTTACTCAGGGGCCATGTTTGCTCCAAGGCTCCTATCCTGGCCCTCATCTCTGACAGAGCCTCCCTCTGATGCTGAATCACCTCCTCGTGTCGATAACCTCTGCACTTTGACCCCTGCTTGGCAAGCTCCCCAGGAGCGGTGACAGTGGCCATATCCTGGACACAAAGGGAAGAAAATGACGTTTGAATCATATTCATAACTCATGACAGGCACTTGAGTTTTTCCTCTGAGGGGTCTCGCTCAGGATATCACAGCTCGAAGGTATAGGTGGGGGACAACACTAAGTGGACTCTGGGTGTAGTCAAAAAAGTCCATTGCCAGGAAGGAAGAGCTGGACGCATCACCAAATGATGGAGTATGTGTATAATGCTGAAGAGTGGTAAGTACAAAGTAGGAGGACGAGTTGAGCCCCTCACTCTGAAGAGAAGACCCCAAAGGTTCAGAATGCAGCTGGACTACGACAGTTGGGAGGTGTCCTTCTATGACTCCAAAGATATGACACCCATCTACACCCTGTTACAATTGATCACTCGTTTTTAGATAAAGCGATTCACACACAGGTGGCGACCGCATCTCACTAACAAATTATTCATTAAGAAAAATATCAATTTATATTTGTATCATGGCTATACATCCACAAATATTCCTTTATGCAATTAAGGTTTCAAATTTGTGTTTTGCACTCTTTATGCGCAAATCATTTGACTGCTGGCGTCTTGCAGGTTGAGATTATTTTTGGCTGTGCTTTATGAAAAGATTGAAGCTGTTACTAGACTATTACTTATGATTTCTTTATGATGCTTTGAGTGAAATCGAAGGAAATTATGTTGACTTGTCAAAATGCATAGAAATGCACCTCCATTGAGTTAAATGACTCAGTAGGTGTGTGACTTGAGCTCCATTCCAGCCAAGTGTCTTTGACTGCAGATCTGTGGTTGATCGTATGAAGCACACTCAGGGACACAACGCCTGTCATTGTGGTCTGTTGTGTGAGTCAGCAAGTTGGAATGCATCCCCTACTGACACAATGCAATGTTCACGATCCTCACTTCACTGTAGTGGGCCTATTGATTATAACACGGGTACTATAACAAGAGTCTGAATGGCTATGTTGTAGGTGTGAGTGAGTGAGTGACACACACACACACACACACACCACACACACACAGCGGTTGTGTAACAAACACAAGCCTAAATCATGTCTGGGCAGTATGAAGCTGTTGAGGCCCTCTATTTTCCATTTAGAGAGACAAACAGCAGATAAATGAGTGCCTTGGGGAATACAGAGGAGTTGTGCCATGTTGTACTGTACTGTTGTTACGGTTTACGACAAGGCGTTGCTTTACATGCGAGTGTGTTGTCAGGATGCGAGGCACATGTCATTAAACATTAGGATGTACAATGTCATATAATGTATCTCCTGCTTCTACAGTGTCCTGATAGGAGGGGGAACAGGAGATGGTCTCTTCCTCTAAAAATTGATTGTACTGAGTTAGAGGCGTGGTACCACAGCACGAGATCATTATCAGCAGAACCTGTTCAAACTGGCTTGTCTCTGAGGAAACAGAGGCAGCCGCCAGCATTTACTGAACCAGACAACTAAATATCAGACTTCTGTTTTTCAGTAACGTATTCAAGTGTATGTGTGGTGAATTTATGATGCTGCAGATTCATTTTATTCCTCCCTTGCTTTCAGTTGATCAATGTGGCTGGAGAGTGCAATACTCTTAATCTGGTCCCAGATCTGTTTGTCCTTTATAGGGTAGTCAACGCCTATGGTTGTTGTCTGGCATGATAACCACCGTATGAGTTGGCGAAACAGCACATACACATCTGGGACCAGGTTACAAACACCTGGTGTCCCTGGTCTAAATCTAAATCAGCCAGTTCACCAAAAGCCAGCAGACACAGCGGCCCTCGAGGACCAGAGCCGTACAGCACTGGCCCTGTATTCCTAAAGCATCTCAGAGTAGGGAGTACTAGGATCAGGTTCCCCCTTGTATTCACTCATTATAATCTAAAAGGCTAAACTGATCCTAAATCAGCACTCCTACTCTGAGACTCTTTGTGAATATGGGCCTTTATGTTATTCCACTCACCTTTGTGTGTGGTGGTATACAGGTGACAACAGAGTAGTGGACAGGCTGGGTCTGCTCTGGGTTTGTCCTCTGTTCCTTCATCTCTCGCTTTGCCCTGAGACGCTTCTCCAGGTCCACCTGACAAAGCCTGGTAGGACACAACACATTAGATCAAATCAAATCATAAAATGTACGATAGGATACAATGCATCAGCCCTTCGCTACATGCTGGCTGGCTGCTTGCTATCTTATTAATGACCCTAATACAGCTACTACAATATATTTAGTAATTATTTTGTACTTATGTAATTTCAAGGTAAATATATTATTTTAGCAAACATTTCATTATATCGTGGAGAGAAACCATGAGAGAGTTTAAATGTATTGGTACTTCACATTTGTACACATATTATATTACATTTGAGGATTCCACAATACAAATCCAATGTAACCGATGGGGATTGGTAACCTCACTCCTCAGCTTCAAATGTCTCCCCCCGCACCTACCTCAGACCTACCTCAATTCATCCCTCACTTTCTCAAGCTCCTCCCCTTTCTGCTCCACGAGTTGTGACATCAGCATTAGCTTCTGAGTGAGCGTGCTCAGTTGGACCCTCTGATCGACAACCAGAGCCTTAAGCTGCTCCAACTCTAGTTTCTGCTGCTCACTCAGTTCCCCTGCAGAATACACATAGTTAGGCATTCACACACACACACACACACACACACGCACACAATGCGAGACTGCTATATTATCAGACAAAAATGTGCTTCCGCTGAATGTGATCTGACATATACAGGTAACTGCCAAAATAAAGGAAACACCAACATAAAATGTTGGGCCACCACGAGCCAGAACAGCTTCAATGCACCTTGGCATAGATTCTACAAGTGTCTGGAACTCTATTGGAGGGATGCGACACCATTCTTCCACAAGAAATTCCATAAGTGGGTGTTTTGTTGATGGTGGTGGAAAATGCTGTCTCAGGAGCCGCTCCAGAATCTCCCATAAGCGTTCAATTGGGTTGAGATCTGGTGACTGAGACAGCCATAGCATATGGTTTACATTGTTTTCATGCTCATCAAACCATTCAGTGACCACTCGTGTGCTGTGGATGTGGGCAATGTCATCCTATGGGGGCATAGCCATGGTAGCCGATGTAATGGCCATAATAGTGGCCGGCACAGCCTTTTTATTCATGACCCTAAGCATGATGAGATCTTCATTGCTTAATTAACCAAGGAACCACACCTGTGTGGAAGCACCTGCTTTCAATACACTTTGTATCCCTCATTTACTCAAGTGTTTCCATTATTTTGGCAGTTACCTGTATGTAATAAATGAGAAAACCATAATATACTGAAGGGATGGATCAACATGTGAGATTGCACCTGTCATGTCTGTTATCCTGGCATTGGCTGCAGCCAGGTCACGACTCAAAGCCACGATGAGGTCACCCTGGCTACATGTTTCCAGCTGAGACTGGGCCAAGTCTGCCCTGGAGATGAGAACAAGGAAAACTAGAGGAGGCTATTTTAGCTAACAAACTAGGTATTTGGAATGCTTGAACAAAAGTTAAATCTGCACACTGGTATAATGCTCCCTTAGTGTTTACTAGGACGTTCCGACCCCAAAATTCAGTAGAATGTTTGACCATGTTTAGCCTGATTAATCCACTTACTCATAATTCCACAGCTTCACTACGGACGCATGCACATGCACCCGCACACACACGCACACATACACAGTCTTGTACAACTAACCTTGTGGGGACACACAATTCAGTCCTATTCAAATCCTATTTTCCCTAACCCTAAACCTAACCCACACCCTTACTCTAACCCAAACCTGAAAACCTAACCTTAACCCTAACCCAAAACCTAACCCTAGCTCCTAACCCTAACCCTAAAACTAAACGTAGTTCCTAACCCTAAACCTAACACTAATTCTAACCTTAACCCTAAACCCCCTAGAGATAGCCTTTGACCTTGTGGGGACTAACAAAATGTCCCCAGTTGGTCAAATTTTTGTTTGTTTACTATTCTTTTGGGGACTTCTGGTCCCCACAAGTATAGTTAAACACGTCCACGCACGAACGCACGTACACACACACACACACAGAAACAAGGCATTCTATCACCATATTTGAAAGAGATAACTTTCTCTGTGCACACGTTCTTATGATGTAAATTCCTACTTCTAGAGAACTACATTGAATCAGGAGATATTTGACTGTGGTAATATGACCTTTTAAATTAGCTGTAAAAAATAAGTCTGCATGATCATTAATCTAAGATTTAGAAGACACATGCTGTACTGTAACTGTCCTATACTGTGTGTTCAGAAATGGACACCAGGGACTCTCATAGGCTTATCTTTAGCTGGAATGCAGTGGCACACATGGGATGGGTTAAGAAGACCTCAGATTACATTTAGGAATCAGTGCCTGGGCCTTCAGAAGTAATCCTCCGCTTGGTTTGAGACAAGAGGGTAGTTTCACAGACTGATCCCTATATGGATCATATATATGAGAGTCATTATATAAGAAAAGCATGAGTCATATATTTCTGGCCTCATGAATTATTCATGAGTAAAGCACAGTGTGAGTATGGGGATGTTTGCTGAGTGATGATGTCACTCCTTTGTGCAGGATGGAAACAGTGCTTGTTTAAGATGGCAAGAAATACCATGGTGTGAATACACTGAGACAACATCTAAAGTGAATAACCTTACATGAAGAAATGTGGAGGTTGCATAAATTATGATTTACAATCCAAACTGTTGATGTATTGCATCAAACTTACTATATAATGTGGTAAGGTCCCTCTAGTTAAATGTCAGTAATAGTCTGTGCCTATTGGCGAATGTTTCCACTATTTAGTCTCATCAATATTGAGGCCATCTAATTAGTTGAAAGAAACTCCAAAAAACCTTCTTTACCTGAGTGAAGTGATAATACCCTCCAGGGCTGCTACCTCTGGGGCCTGTTTAGTCTGTGTCTCCAGGGGACTGGTACTCCTCACGGGCCTACTACTCTCCAGACTCCCCTCCAACGCTGTGGAGAGTTATAATACATTATAAAGACTCATACATGGTTAAAACAAGTTATAAAGCATTACATCTGCATCCTGTAAGTATTTAAGTATCAGATTCTCTGGGTCTTTCCTGAAAAATAGACACCAGCTGGTCAGATTCAACGTTCACTGCAGCTCATCTAGAACCATCTGTACAGGATCACCACAAGGCTCGGTCATCTCGCCTGTGCTATTCACCCTGTACACAGACGACTGTAGGAGCTCGGACCCAGATATTATGTTCATGACACAGTAATAATGAACACAGGCAATCCAGAGGGGCGCCTCCAGGCTGAAATCGACAGGTTTCACTGTGGTGTAGTAGCCAGAACTACCTGGACCTCAATGCAACCAAAACCAAAGACCTGGTCATTGACTTCAGAAGAGACCAACCTACCATCCCAGCGCTGGAGGTTAACGGACAGATAATTAAACAAGGGGACGACTACAAATACCTAGGAACCATCATCGACAACAAGCTCTTCTTTAAAAGTAACACTGAACAAATTCCCTCAAAATGTCAACAACGCCTGTTCTTTCTACAGAAATTGAGGAAGTTTAATGTACATCAATCAATCCTCCAAGCATTTTATAATGCTTTAAAAAATCTATCCCAGCTTTTAATATTGTGGGGTGGTTTGGTGCTCTAGGGAACACAAGTCAGAACCCACTGAACAGGATAATACGAATCAGTGGGAAGGTCATTGGAGCAAGCCAGGAACCCCTCAGTGACATTTATAAAAAACGAGTGAGGAAGAAGGGGGAACAAATAGCCTTTGACATGACACACACACCATGACCAGTATAGCCCCCTACTCTCCGGGCACAGGTGTAGAGCTCTCCCATACAAACCCGAAGAGAGCAGCTTCTAGTTTTGTGCCAACATCCATCAAACTCCTCAACCCTCTCATTTTTCTTTGTATCTATGTGTATGTATAGCCTGTGATTGCATAGAATGCCTGATCCTTTATACAGCCTACCAGTTTTTGTGTTCTATGTTGTTATGTGTCCAGTAGCAGTGTGTGGGCAAAATAACCGGGGAAGCCAGAAAAAAAGCTGTGTGTTGTGATAATTGTGCTGTTTGCTCTATAACCTGTTAGTTCATATGCCTTGACACCGTGATATATAGCCCTAAGGCCCGAGACAATAAGAAGACACAGTGGCAGAATAAATTCAATCACACCTTTGTTTCATCACAAAACCGGAGAGCAACCTCTGTCTGGTGAAGTCAACAAAGCATATTGCATGTAACAAACAGTTACATGACCTACAGCATGGTCAAGCAAGTTAATGTTGACGACATTTTCGGACCACTAAACAACTATTGATTTAGAACCACGGAGAGTTTTCGCGAGTCGCAAAGAAAACAGGTGCTGCCTCCTCTATTTCAGCACCATTTCAACTTCAACATCATCAAATCACCTATACTTAGTCTAATACAGTGACAACTAAAAGATACCAAAAACAATTTAGTCCAATCAACGTAAGCTAAATATGATGTGGCTGTCCATGGTTCTGATTTCTGTGTGCCTGTGTGCGTGCACATTTGTGCAAGTAGAAAAAACATGTTGACTCACCAATGCCATCCTCCTCTCTTTCATGTTGACGAAACGGTCTATCACTCTTTTTTGTTGTCCAAGGCTACCTGGCTAAAATGCTTGCTCACTAGCTTAACTTCCATTCATGGGCAATGTTAGCTAGTTAACATTAGCCTTCTAAATCTAGCTACACATTGAACCTCCATCCTCTCAGGCCAGGGGCACAATGTATGAATTAATGGTTGGATCAGAATCGTTGTTATAATCATTGGCCAGTACGGAGAATTAAGTCAAACCACTAGTCCAAATCCCTATCTCCATCCATTTAATTTAGGAAAGGGCCAATTTTAGCTAGCTAGCTAGCCACCGGAGAACAACAACACAACAAGATGCAACAATTCAAGTTGTTTCTGTCAGTGATGAATGCTCTCAATGCAATTTGATAGGAGTGAAGCCAAATCCAAAACTGGCTTCCCTTGACACCTTTTCTGGTGCGCCAGGACCATTCACAGTTGTGCTCACTCAGTTTAGCTCAATGCTGATTGGCTATTATTTGTATTTTTTTATGTATCAATGGAGGCCAAATGCTCGCTGGCTTCCCTTGTATTCAATGCTACGGGCGGCAACAATGTCATACTCTTTTGGACCAGACAGAATCAGATAGATGGCCTACACATAAGGGCGCTGTTTCGCTCGCTTGGATGCTTTCTCAAGTGAGATACATTCAGCTTCTTGCGAATTGAAGGAAAATTATGAAACACAGAGAGACAAAATATTTATTATTATTATTATTATTATTTTTTATATGATTTGGGGAAGCCTGGCTTCCCCTGGCATCCATGAATACACACCACTGTATGTGTCTTGTATGTACCAATTCATCACCACACATGAAGCTCCCTTCCAGGAAATAAAAGTTATTTGCATAGAATTTTGAATAAGTAAAGTGTTACTGAGTTTATTTCACACCCAGTAACACCAAGTATGACTATGCATTGATCATACACTCTCTGGCATTTGAATATCTGTAACTGAGGAAAATATGTGCTTCTAGCATTGCTCTTTAGCGTTGCATTATATGTGACTGTCATCTAGTGACATACAATAGCACTACATTGCATTAAGCACACTACTGTGTCCAGTGCTGTTTAATTTAGACTAAACAGCACTGGGAATTGACCAACAGTGCCTTCAGAAAGTATTCATACCCCTTGACTTATTCCACATTTTGTTGTGTTACAGCCTGAATTCATATTTGATTCAATTGATTATTTTCTCACCCATCTACACACCATACCCCATAATGACAACGTGAATTTGTTTAGCAAATTTATTGAAAATAAAATACAGAAATATCTCATTTGCATCCAGTACCAGTCAAAAGTTTGGACACACCTACTTATTACAGGGTCTTTCTTTATTTTTACTATTTTCTACATTGTAGAATAATAGTGAAGACATCGAAACTATGAAATAACACATATGGAATCATGTAGTAACCAAAAAAGTGTTAAACAAATCAAAATATATTTTATATTTGAGATTCTTCAAATAGCCACCCTTTGCCTTGATGACAGCTTTGCACACTCTTGGCATTCTCTCAACCAGCTTCACGAGGTAGTCACCTGGAATGAATTTCAATTAACAGGTGTGCCTTCTTAAAAGTTAATTTGTGGAATTTCTTTCCTTCTTAATGCATTTGAGCCAATCAGTTGTTTTGTGACAAGGTGGGGGGGGGGGGGGGGGTATACAGAAGATAGCCCAATTTGCTTATTTGAGCTGTTCTTGACATAATATGGACTTGGTCTGAAAGATTAATTTGTCTCCCAGTGTCTGTTGGAAAGCAGACTGAACAGGTTTTCAAGTAGTATTTTGCCTGTTGCTTAGCTCTATTCCGTTTATTTTTATCCCCAAAAAACTCCCAAGTCCTTGCCAATGACAAGCATAACATGATGCAGGCACCACCATGCCTGAAAATGTAAAGAGTGGTACTCAGTGATGTGTTGTGTTGGATTTGCCCCAAACATAATGTTTTGTATTCATGACATAAAGTTCATTTCTTAGCCATATTTTTTGCAATTTACTTTAGTGCTTTATTGCAAACCGGATGCATGTTTTGGAATATTTGTATTCTGTACAGGCTTCCTTCTTTTCACTCTGTCATTTAGCTAATAATTGTGGAGTAACTACAATGTTGTTGATCCATCCTCAGTTTTCTCCTATCACAGCCATTAAACTCTGCAACTGTTTTAAAGTCACCATTGGCCTCATGTTGAATTCCCTGAGTGGTTTCCTTTCTGTCCGGCAACTGAGTTAGGAAGGACGCCTGTATCTTTGTAGTGACTGGGTGTATTGATACCCCAGCCAAAGTGTAATTAATACAGTGAGGGAAAAAAGTATTTGATCCCCTGCTGATTTTTTACATTTGCTCACTGACAAAGAAATGATCATTCTATAATTTTAATGGTAGGTTTATTTGAACAGTGAGAGACAGAATAACAAAAAAAATAATCCAGAAAAACGCATTTCACAAATGTTATAAATTGATTTGCATTTTAATGAGGGAAATAGGTATTTGACCCCCTCTCAATCACAAAGATTTCTGGCTCCCAGGTGTCTTTTATACAGGTAACGAGCTGAGATTAGGAGCACACTCTTAAAGGGAATGCTCCTAATCTCAGCTTGTTACCTGTATAAAAGACACCTGTCCACAGAAGCAAACAATCAATCAGATTCCAAACTCTCCACCATGGCCAAGACCAAAGAGCTCTCCAAGGATGTCAGGGACAAGATTGTAGACCTACACAAGGCTGGAATGGGCTACAAGACAACAGTTGGTGCGATTATTCGCAAATGGAAGAAACACAAAATAACTGTCAATCTCCCTCGGCCTGGGGCTCCATGCAAGATCTCACCTCGTGGAGTTGCAACGATCATGAGAACGGTGAGGAATCAGCCCAGAACTACACGGGAGGATCTTGTCAATGATTTCAAGGCAGCTGGGACCATAGTCACCAAGAAAACAATTGGTAACACACTACGCCGTGAAGGACTGAAATCCTGCAGCGCCCGCAAGGTCCCCCTGCTCAAGAAAGCACATATACAAGCCCGTCTGAAGTTTGCCAATGAACATCTGAATGATTCAGAGGAGAACTGGGTGAAAGTGTTGTGGTCAGATGACACCAAAATGGAGCTCTTTGGCATCAACTCAACTCGCCGTGTCTGGAGGAGGAGGAATGCTGCCTATGACCCCAAGAACACCATCCCCACCATCAAACATGGAGGTGGAAACATTATGCTAAGGCAGGGGTGTCAAACGTACGGCCCGCGGGCCGGATCAGGCCCGCAAACGGGTTTAATCCGGCCCGCGAGATGATTTAGAAAATGAAAAAAAAAGAAACAATTTTTTTTTTTTTTTAGGTATAAAAATGCGCTGCAATTTTTCAATAAAATAAACTGCTGTTCCAATTGCGTCCATGGGATGGCGCAATAGCAATTGTGTTAAGCAAGCAAACTGTTTATATCGGGGCAGTGCAAGTAGGTCAAGCACGTGCAGCCAATGAGCTACTTTGTTTTGCCCGCGATATTTATTACGGCTTCTACTTTTAACATTATGTGCTTTGGCACCCTCATTGCCCCAATATGTCTCTGTCAAAAATGAGAAAAGTGGACGCAGAGTGCAGAGTGTTCCAAGAAAAATGGTCATCCTATTTAATCACGGAATTGAATGGGAAAGCTGTATGTTTGGTGTGTTCAGAGCATGTTGCAGTGCTGAAAGAATATAACCTTCGTCGCCACTATGTGAGTCTTCATGCCGACAAATATGACAACTTTCAAGGACAGCGGAGATGAGAGAAGGTGAATGAACTGTTGGCGGGTCTGAAGAAACAGCAGTCTGTGTTTACTCACAGCCGAGACATCAGTGACGCTGCAGTGAAAGCTAGCTACCTCATTGCTAATGAAATCGCAGTGGCTTCAAAACCATTTAGTGAGGGTGAATTTGTAAAAACATGCATGATGAAGGCAGCGGAGATTGTGTGCCCTGAAAAGCGGCAGGCTTTTGCAAATATCAGCCTGACAAGAAACACAGTTGCAGACAGGATTTCCGATCTTTCAGTGGATTTGGACAGCCAGTTGAAGCAAAAAGTAAAGTCATTTATTGCGTTTTCGGTTGCAATTGATGAAAGCACGGACATTACAGATGTTGCACAACTGGCCATTTTTTCATCCGCGGAGTTGATGACACATTGACCGTCACCGAGGAGTTCGTGGAGTTGGTGCCGATGATATTTTTACCGCACTCGTCGGCGTGCTGGACAGGGTCGGAGTGGACTGGTCCCGCGCTGTCAGCCTGGCTACAGATGGTGCGCCCTCAATGATCGGGAAAAAAAGCAGGCGTTGTGACAAAGTTCAGAGAGAAAGTGCAATCTGCAAATGGAGGACGTGATTTTTTGACTTTTCACTGTATTTTGCACCAGGAGGCTTTGTGTTGCAAGTCATTAAAGATGGATAACGTCATGAAGGTGGTCATCCAAACTGTTAATTTCATCCGATCCAGAAGCCTGAATCACCGTCAGTTTGACAGCCTTCTCAGAGAGAAAGACCACATCTATGGCCTGCCATACCACACTGAGGTAAGATGGTTAAGCCGAGGTGCTGTGCTGAGGCGTTTCTTTGATTTACGAGAAGAAATTGAACAGTTCATGGAAGAAAAGGGCAAACCAGTGTTATAATTTCATTCCGCAGAATGGATGCCGGACCTTGCATTTATGGTGGATGTTACAGAGCACCTGAATAACTTGAACAAACAGCTGCAAGGGCGCAACAAAGTTGTCACGCAGTATTATGACAGCATACGTTCTTTCAAGTTGAAGCTGTCATTGTGGGAGACGCAACTTGCCGGTGGTGATGCAGCTCACTTCCCCTGTCTGAAAAATGTGTGCGCGACCCAACATGTGGCAGACATGAAGCGGTTCAAAGATAAAATAACTGGACTGTTACGGGAGTTTGAGCAACGCTTTCAGATTTATGTTTATATGTTTTTATGTTGATGTGCTATTGTTTTTAATTGATTTTATTTTATTTGTATATTTAACCTATTCTTGACTCGGTGGTTCTTGCACTTGTTTGGGGAACAGGATTTCATTATTTTTATCTACATTTCTGCCTGAGAAATGACACCCTGATATAGTTCTGTGATCTGTGATATACTTCTGTGAATCACTGAGGCTTTGTGTGTTATTTGTCCTCAGAACTTTCAAATAACTTGAGGTGTTTTATGATTAATAGTGATGTTGTGCTTTTGGACACTGTCCTCAGGCTCCAGCTTTATGTTTATATGTTTTTATGTTGATGTGCTATTGTTTTTAATTGATTTTATTTTATTTGTATATTTAACCTATTCTTGACTCTGTGGTTCTTGCACTTGTTTGGGGAACAGGATTTCATTATTTTTATCTACATTTCTGCCTGAGAAATGACACCCTGATATAGTTCTGTGATCTGTGAAACAGTTCTGTTAATCACTGAGGCATTGTGTGTTTGTGTGTTCTTTTTCTTTAGAAATTTCAAATAAACTTGACGTGTTTTATGATTAATAGTGATGTTGTGCTTGTACTATTTTGGACACACTGTCCTCAGGCTCCAGCTTTATGTTGTATGTTGATCGTATTAAAACAAAGAAAACAATCTGAAGTTGTTGTTTTTAAGTTATATATACACCATGATTTTTCCGGTCCGGCCCACTTGGGAATAGATTTTCCTCCATGTGGCCCCTGAGCTAAAATGAGTTTGACACCCCTGTGCTAAGGGGTCAGCACAACTTCACCGCATCAAAGGGACGATGGACATGTACCGTCAAATCTTGGGTGAGAACCTCCTTCCCTCAGCCAGAGCATTGAAAATGGGTCGTGGATGGGTATTCCAGCATGACAATGACCCAAAACACACGGCCAAGGCAACAAAGGAGTGGCTCAAGAAGAAGCACATTAAGGTCCTGGAGTGGCCTAGCCAGTCTCCAGACCTTAATCCCATAGAAAATCTGTGGAGGGAGCTGAAGGTTCGAGTTGCCAAACGTCAGCCCCGAAACCTTAATGACTTGGAGAAGATCTGCAAAAAGGAGTGGGACAAAATCACTCCTGAGATGTGTGCAAACCTGGTGGCCAACTACAAGAAACGTCTGACCTCTGATTGCCAACAAGGGTTTTGCCACCAAGTACTAAGTCATGTTTTGCAGAGGGGTTGAATATTTAGCAGCTTTACATTTTTAATTAATTTGTAAACATTTCTAAAAACATAATTCCACTTTGACATTATGGGGTATTGTGTAGGTCAGTGACACAAAATCTCAGCTGTAACACAACAAAATGGAAAAAGTCAAGGGGTGTGAATACTTTCTGAAGGCACTGTATATGGATAGGGCTAAAACATTACATTGTGTCACGTCTCCTCCCGTTGCTCCCCTCCGGCGCTCTGATTCGCCGGTCTACTAAGCCACCGGTCTGAGGGCACCAACTCGGCAACACCGAAATGGAAACCCAACGCACCCTAATCACATTTTACATTTTTACATTTACATTTACGTAATTTGGCAGACGCTCTTATCCAGAGCGACTTACAAATTGGTCTCACAAACCATTCAGTGACCACTCGTGCCCTGTGGATGGGGGCATTGTCATCCTATGGCGCACCTGCACCTCATCATCTCATCACCAACCCTATATAGCCCTGGACTGTTCAGTGTTGTGTTGTGTGTGATTGTTAGTGTCATGTCGTGTACTCGCTCTTTGTTGTTCTCTTGCTCAGTGTTAAGTAAACCTTTACATTGTTGATTCCTGTGTCTGCATCCTGCCTCTTCGTATCCTCAGTACTCGTCACAGAATCACACACCAATCACGAAGATGGATGCAGCAGGTAATCCTCCTGGAGTTTCCCAGCGCCTCGACCAGCACCAGCAGCAGATTGCCCAGCTGAACGCCGCCGTGCAGGAAGTGCTCCAAACGCTGCATAAACTGACCATCGCTCTGGTTCCACCTCAGGGAGCGGTGAGTGCACCCAGTCCACCTCCTCCCGTGCTATCACCAACGTCTGAGGGACCCCTCGCCCTGCCGGAGCGCTATGACGGGAAAACAACAAAACGTAGAGGCTTCCTGCTACAGGTCTCACTGTATCTGGCGCATCAGCGTGGGGCATCTCCATCAGACCAAGCCAGGATAGCGCTGGTGATTTCGCTACTGAAGGGAAAGGCGCTGGATTGGGCCATGGCGATCTGGGAAGGAGGTGAGGCCGCCGCGCTTCCCTACTCCACCTTCCTCGCTCGGTTCAGGGCGGTATTCGATCATCCCACGGAGGGAAAGGACGGGCCCCTCGGAACGCCCCGGCAGGCAAACTAGTTCCTCTCCCAGTGCCTTAGCGACCTTGGTCACACCTGTCCATAGACTCCCACGTTCTGACGGCTTCACCACAGTCCTGGTGGTCGTAGATCGGTTCTCCAAATCATGCTGTTTTTTGCCACTAACTGGTCTTCCTTCTGCTCTCCAGGTCGCTGAGGTCCTGTTCCAACAGGTCTTCCGGTATTATGGACTTCCGGAGGACATCGTCTCGGACTGTGGCCCCCAATTCACCTCCTGAGTGTGGAAGGCTTTCCTGGAGAAGATCGGGGCCACAGCCAGCCTCACTTCCGGGTATAGGCCTCAGTCGAATGGGCAGGTGGAGCGCATGAACCAGGAGCTGGGGAGGTTTCTTCGTTTCCACTATCAGGACCGGCAGGGTGAGTGGGCGAGGTTTCTTCCCTGGGCAGAATATGCCCAGAACTCCCTCGTTCACTCCTCCATGGGGCTCACTCCCTTCTAGTGCGTCCTTGGACACCCAGCCAGGGCCGGACAGGTCTGGGACGCCGCCCATGTCCATCTCCAGAGGGCCATTCGTCGGCAGAAGGACCAAGCCGACCGCCACCGCAGTGAGGCCCCCGTATTCCAGCCTGGGGATCGTGTCTGGCTGTCCACTAAAAACCTCCCTCTCCGCCTGCCCTGCAAGAAACAGAGCCCCCGGTTTGTGGGGCCGTTTAAAGGTCCCCCGGCGGATAAATGAGGTATTGTACCGGCTGCTCCTTCCCCCTCACTACCGTGTCTCACCCACTTTTCATAAGTCTCTCCTCAGGCTGGTGGTTCCTGGTCCTCTGGTGGATGCCGTCCCCCGGGGTACACCCCCCCCCCACCCCCCCGCCCCGCCCCTGGACATTGACGGGAGTCCGGCGTATGCGGTGAGGTACTTGCTGGACTCCAGGTTCCGTGGGGGATGGCTCCGTTACCTGGTGGACTGGGAGGGGTATGGTCCTGAGGAGAGGAGCTGGGTTCCGGTTGGGGACGTTCTGGACCCCAACCTAATTTGGGACTTCCACCACCACCGGCGCCCTGACTGGCCCGCTCCTCGTCCTCGGGGTCGTCCTCCTGGTTGGTGATGTCCTGCGGCGGGAGCCGTTGCTCCCCTCCGGGACTCTGATTCACCGGACTACTGAGCCAAAAACATAATTCCACTTTGACATTATGGGGTATTGTGTAGGTCAGTGACACAAAATCTCAGCTGTAACACAACAAAATAGAAAAAGTCAAAGGGTGTGAATACTTTCTGAAGGCACTGTATATGGATAGGGCATTACACTGTGTCACGTCTCCTCCCGTTGCCCCCCTCCGGCACTCTCATTCGCCGGTCTACTGAGCCACCACCTCATCAACACCGGAATGGAAACCCAACGCACCCTAATCACCTCCAGCGCACCTGCACCTCATCATCTCATCACCACCCCTATATAGCCATGGACTGTTCAGTGTTGTGTTGTGTGTGATTGTTAGTGTCATGTTGTGTACTCGCTCTTTGTTGATCTCTTGCTCAGTGTTAAGTAAACCTTTACATTGTTGATTCCTGCGTCTGCGTCCTGCCTCTTTGTATCCTCAGTACTCGTCACACACTGGTGATTTTATGTACAGTTGAAGTCGGAAGTTTAAATACACCTTAGCCAAATACATTTAAACTCAGTTTTTCACAATTCCTGACATTTAATCCTAGTACAAAATTCCCTGTCTTAGGTCAGTTAGGTCAGTTTAAGAATGTGAAATGTCAGAATAATAGTAGAGAGAATGATTTATTTCAGATTTGATTTATTTCATCACATTCCCAGTGGGTCAGAAGTTTACATACACTCAATTAGTATTTGGTAGCATTGTCTTTAAATTGTTTAACTTCGGTCAAACGTGGGGTAGCCTTCCACAAGCTTCCCACAATAAGTTGGGTGAATTTTGGCCCATTCCTCCTGACAGAGCTGGTGTAACTGAGTCAGGTTTGTAAGCCTCCTTGCACACGCTTTTTCAGTTCAAATTTTCTATAGGATTGAGGGCTTTGTGATGGCCACTCCAATACCTTGACTTTGTTGTCCTTAAGCCATTTTGCCACAACTTTGGAAGTATGCTTGTGGTCATTGTCCATTTGGAAGACGCATTTCTGACCAAGCTTTAACTTCCTGACTGATGTCTTGAGATGTTGCTTCAATATATCCACATCATTTTCCTTCCTCATGATGCCATCTATTTTGTGAAGTGCACCAGTCCCTCCTGCAGCAAAGCACCCCCACAGCATGATGCTGCCACCCCTGTGGTTCACGGTTGGGATGGTGTTCTTCGGCTTGCAAGCCTTCCCCTTTTTCCTCCAAACATAACGATGGTCATTATGGCCAAACAGTTCTATTTTTGTGTCATCAGACCAGAGGACATTTCTCCAAAAAGTACGATCTTTGTCCCCATGTGCAGTTGCAAACCGTAGTCTGCCTTTTTAATGGCGGTTTTGGAGCAGTGGCTTCTTCCTTGCTGAGCGGCCTTTCAGGTTATGTTGATATCGGACTCGTTTTACTGTGGATATAGATACTTCTGTACCGGTTTCCTCCAGCATCTTCAGAAGGTCCTTTGCTGTTGTTCTGGGATTGATTTGCACTTTTCGCACCAAAGTACGTTCATCTCTAGGAGACAGAACGCGTCTCCTTCCTGAGCGGTTGTCACGCCCTGGCTCTGGGGACTCTTAAATGTTGAGCCAGGGTGTGGATTTTTCTATGTTTAGTTTTTCTATGTTTTCGTTCTAGATCGTTTTGATCTATGTTGGCCGGGGTGGTTCCCCATCAGAGGCAGCTGTAGCTCGTTGTCTCTGATTGGGGACCATATTTAGGCAGACTGTTTTGCACTAGTCTTTGTTGGATCTTGTTCCATAAGGTTTGTTTTGGTGTTAACCTAGGACTTCACGTATCGTTTGGTTTGTTGTTTTGATCGTGTGTTGAGTACAAATAAAATGTACGCTTATCACACTGCGCCTTGGTCCGTGTCTTCAGTTGACGACCGTGACAGAAGATCCCACCATAAGAGGACCAAGCAGCGTGCCCAGGAGGAGAAGATGGCGATGTCGCAGGTGGGCAAATGGTGGTCTTGGGAGGAGATCTTCGCGGGCAGAGGGCCATGGGCAAAGGTAAATGCCCAGGCAGACGACGGACACGCGAGAGGCAACCCCAAGACATTTTTTGGGGGGGGCACACGGCGTGGATGACGGGGCAGCAGGAGGCAGCTACAGGGCGAATCTGCGGACTAGGATAGGAGGCCACCAGGTTACGGGGGCTACTGGTCATGAGGGAGATGGAGAGTGTAGAGGCACGGCGAGAGGAACTAGATAGGCAGCAGAGGGAGCGGAGGTTTAGAAGGAAACCCAGTCCCGCTCCTCGCACCAAGCAAGTGGTGTGTGTCACCAGTCCGGTCCGGCCCGTTCCTGATTCCCGCACAAGGCCAGTGGTGTGTGTTCCCAGTACGGTCCGGCCCGTTCCTGCTCCCCGCACTAAGCCAGTGGTGCGCGTCGCCAGCCCGGTCCGGCCTGTTCCTGTCCCTCGCACCAAGCCAGTGGTGCGCGTTGCCAGCCCGGTCCGGCCCGTTCCTGCTCCCCGCACCAAGCCAGTGGTGCGCGTCGTCAGCCCGGTCCGGCCCGCTCCTGCTCCCCGCACCAAGCCAGTGGTGCGCGTCGTCAGCCCAGTCCGGCCCGTTCCTGCTCCCCGCACCAAGCCAGTGGTGCGCGTCGTCAGCCCGGTCCGGCCAGTTCCTGCTCCCCGCACCAAGCCAGTGGTGCGTGTGTCCAGTCCGGCACGGCCCGTGCCTGTTCCATCGGTGCCTGGCCAGAGCAATTCGTTCCATCGGTGCCTGGCCAGAGCAATTCGCTCCACCGGTGTCCAGTCCAGCTCCGGCCAGCGGGACCAGATCAGGGGCGCAACGGGGGGGTGTAGAGAGAGTGGTGGTCACGCCCGGAGCCGGATGGGGGGTACTGTCCGCGCCTTTGGGTGGGGGGTACTGTCACGCCCTGGCTCAGGGGACTCTTAAATGTTGAGCCAGGGTGTGGATTTTTCTATGTTTAGTTTTTCTATGTTTTCGTTCTAGATCGTTTTGGTCTATGTTGGCCGGGGTGGTTCCCAATCAGAGGCAGCTGTAGCTCGTTGTCTCTGATTGGGGTCCATATTTAGGCAGCCTGTTTTGCATTAGTCTTTGTGGGATCTTGTTCCGTAAGGTTTGTTTTGGTGTTAACCTAGGACTTCACGTATCGTTTGGTTTGTTGTTTTGATCGTGTGTTGAGTACAAATAAAATGTACGCTTTTTACGCTGCGCCTTGGTTCCACGAGTCTTCCTGTAACGATTGTGACAGCGGTATGATGGCTGCGTGGTCCCATGGTGTTCATTCTTGCGTACTATTGTTTGTACAGATGAACGTGGTACCTTCAGGCATTTGGAAATTGCTCGAAAGGATGAACCAGACTTGTGGAGGTCTACAATTGTTTTTCTGAGGTCTTGGCTGATTTCTTTTGATTTTCCCATGATGTCAAGCAAAGAGGCACTGAGTTTGAAGGTAGGCCTTGAAATACATCCACAGGTACACCTCCAATTGACTAAAATGATGTCAATTAGCCTATCAGAAGCTTCTAAAGCCATGACATAATTTTCTGGAATTTTCCAAGCTGTTTAAAGGCACAGTCAACTTAGTGTATGTAAACTTCTGACCCACTGGAATTGTGATACAGTGAATTATAAGTGAAATAACCTGTCTGCAAACAATTGTTGGAAAAATTACTTGTGTCATGCACAAAGTAGATGTCCTAACCGACTTGCCAAAACTATAGTTTGTTAACAAGAAATTTGTGGAGTGGTTGAAAAATGAGTTTTAATGACTCCAACCTAAGTGTATGTAAACTTCCGACTTCAACTGTACTTTATGCCGCATTTGTTGATAACGAAATCTGAAAATACTCTGGATACATTCAGTAACATGATACGAATAATCCTGGAAAATGTGGAGTAGGTGCAACGTAAGACAAAACAATTACTATGGGTTTGAGTGAGAGGACTAACTGGTGTCTCCAAGTGGCCACACACCTCTCCAAAGTGTGCACAGTTCCTAAGCAATTTCAATGCACTTTTATACTCAAAGATGTGTCTTCAACTAAAAGCACACTTGTAGTTGTTTTGTTTGGAACACAGCCCTGCATCCCCGCCATCACACAATTACTGTTGTTGTTTACACAATCCAAAAATGGCCCATTATAAATCACAGTCTGGGTCAGGTGGGCATCATTTAAAAGCTTGTTCTTTTGTCAACATCACGAGCTAAGTTATAAAATACAATCTTACAGTGCTAGACTTTCACAGGACAATTCAGAGAAACAGATCGTAATTTTGGTGTGCATAGAAAGGAGTCATGCGCGCATTCTTGCGTGTTCAGCTGCAAATTTTCTTTACTATACACAAACATAGGCTCATTCTGTTCAGAACAACCCAGGGTATGAGGCCATGTCATCTTGTAGCTGTACATCAAAACATAGTGATCATAAACGTTGACACTGTATATGACATGAGTTTTGTGATATGGAAATGTGAAGTGCACATTTGGACTCGGGTGTTTGGCTTGCTTGTATGACATCAAAGAGGTATTTATTATAATCCTCAACGTCGCATCTTTCAAAATACATTTAGTCCTCTTAATTTACAGCATTTCCTTCACTCAGAATTTGTTTGGGGTGCAAAAGTTGCCCAATTATCTGTTGTTAAAGCACAGAGATGCCCTGTATCCAGATGCCAATTTTTTTTGCCAGGCTTCTAGGGTTCTCCTATTCCAATGCCTGTGGGAACAAGACCAGCCAGACGGACAGACGGCCAGACAACCAGAGAGCCAGACAGTCCACTCCTGTGACCCCCCCTCCTCACCTCTCAGCTGTCCAATCAGCACTTCCCTCTCCTCCTCCACCTCCTGGGCTCTCTGTCTGCTCTGGACCCAGCGCTGCTCCAAGGCCACGATGGTGTGCGCATGCTGCCGCACCTGCTCCCTGTACTCAGCCTCCCAGACCCCGTAGCGCTCCCTCTCCTCCTCTGCTCCCTTCTCCAAGGCTTCCTTCACCTTATCCTGCCACTCCTCCTCCCTCCTGCCTGCCTCCTCCAGCCTGGTGCAGCACTCGGCCTCCTGGGTCTGCGCCTCCTGCTGCAGTGTAGTCTGGGAAATGAGAGAAATACGTAGAAAGAAAGGAGGATTGTAACATCTGTTTCCTGGTGGACCACTGTGTATGCTAGTTTTCAGTTTCAGTTGTTCTCCTAGTAGATTTATCTTTATGTATCTTTAGCACCAGCTAGTTGTTGTATTACTTGACTGCTTTAAGGGTGAATCCTTTGACAGCTTAATAACACACTGAGTTACAAAACAAACAGACTGATGGAACCAGCATCCACAGTGTTCTCGAAGGACCTGTATTTTATTGTGTTACTTTTTATTTAATTTTTTACTTTATTTTGTAAATATTTTCTTAACTCTATTTCTTGAACTGCATTGTTGGTTAAGGACTTGTAAGTAAGTATTTCACGGTATGGTTGTATTCGGTACTGTTGTATTCGGCGCATGTGACAAATACAATTTGATTTGACTAGGAAAAATGTGTCAAAACCATCCCAGCACCTGGCCCCCTCACCTGGGCTTGTCTGAGTGCCTCCAACTCCCCATTCAGCTCCTCCAACTCCTTTTGCCTGGCCTCTTCTTCATGCTGTGCCACAGTCATCTACAATGGAAGTAAGGGGACATAAAGATGTACATCTTTTCCTGGATGTCAACAAAGCGTTGCTATTAAATCCACTTTCCCAGTCATGTACATGCATTTTTATGTCAGTTGTTAATAGATATGGAATGTGTGTGTGTCTATGTGTGCAAGTGTGTGTGAGTGCCCGCAAACGTGCATGTGTGTGTGGGAGCCAACCTGCTGTCTCTGCTGCACCAGCTCCTCTCTGGTAATGCTCAGAATCTCCTGCAGCTCTCTGGACTTTGCATCTCTCTCCTGGAGCTCCTCCAGGTCTACCTGCACCCCAGAAAAGACACAGTGACCATATGACCACTAAACAACCCTATCAGCCACATCATATTTGCAATCTTTCTATACATCACATTAAAACCACTGATGAGCAAATTAGGCCTTAAATAGGAAAACCAACCAATCAAACTCACTGGAAGTTTATTGATAATGAGAGTGATCTTCCATTGGGTTACACATACATCAATGATTGTCCCATTTGTATGAGGGTTCTGGGCCTATTTTCAAAAGTCTCAGAGTAGGAGTGCTGATATAAGATCAGTTGTGCCTTTCAAGATTACATGTAAGCTTATACGTACAGGGATAACCTGATCCCAGAGCTTCGCTCATACTCTGAGATGCTTTGTGTATACGGGGCCTGATGTCTGTTCTTACTGCATTTCCTTTTTTGAACATCTACTCCTGTTCTGTGTATGTGGCTTACAGAGCTGAACGTTCAGTGCAAAAAAATTTTCAGTACGGAGCAAAGTGATAGGGCACTAATTCTACCTACCTTCAGACGTTGAAGCTCCACTTTGTATCCCTGGTGCTCATTGACCAGGGTTCTGATGCCACTCAGGACTCCTGTGGGATACAAAAGGATATTAGATCATATGGACCCCTTTGTGATTTTAACCCATATATGGACCATAGTAGTACTCTAGTCCCCTAGTACCCATGTGTGTGTGTTAGTTAGTTCTCCCTTTAATAATTATCTCTTAATTTAAGATATGGATACGACTTTGCAATATTCCATTATTACAGTGTTTTTCATGCCTTGTCCTGCGACTTTCCAGGAACACTGGAACACTGCTTTACCACATAAATACATAATTGACTACGTAAAGATGTACAAATACAACAAACTAAACAAAATGTGAACAGCTAGATTTTTTAAATCACCTTCAGTGGGATGTGAAGCATCTATCCCAGCTTCCAGTAGGGCCTGGGTGGCACTATGAAGCAGTGGGAGCTGGGTAGCCATTATGGAGAGGACTGAAGCCTGGACCCAGGCCAGAGCTGGAGACACACTCTCCTCCTGTAGTGAGGTCATGGACTTCTCCAGGGCATTTGCCGAGCATGCCTCCTGTAATTGACTCTGATTGAGTGGACAAGTGTGTGTGTGTGCTATTTAGGATGTTTGGGTGAAAGTATCAAAGCAGCATCTCAATTTGCTAGGGGAACACTTGAGACAGACACGTTTCTTGACTGTCTGGTTGAGAGTTGACTTGTGTCACATTGTTGGCTATGCGTTGCATGTACCCTAATTTGTAAGCCACTCCGGATTTCAGCATCTTATAATTGACACATACACACTGTATGACTGTATATCCAAATGTAGGAGTATGCAAATGTCAGGGAGTGAATACCTGACAGGTCTCCAGCCTACTCTTCAGCCTCTCGGTGTCCTCTGCTGCCCTCTCCTGTTCAGTCCTGACCTCCTTCAGTTGTCCTTCCAGCTCCTCTACCTTATTCATCAGGCTCTCTCTCTCTCCTAGCAGCTCTGCCACCTGTTCTAATACCTACAAGGAGCAAAGGTCACAGCCAGTGGCTAAATTATGGATGACCACATTCCTTTGGCTAGCATAGCCATATAACACCCCAAGTAATTTGCGGATCTGTTTCCCCACATTTCTGGTCATCACAAACCATCATGGCCCAACCCAATGTTTTTCAATAAGACGAAAATGGAATTGGAATTCCAGTTTACTTCCTTGACTGAATTGAAATGTACCCCAACCCTGCAAATCTTCACAATATGTAGCTCTCTGGGACATTTTATATACTTTTATGTTATCAATCAGTCTCTTTTCTATACTGTCAACAGAGAGGTCCCACTAACCTGCTGGTCTGACAAGGCATCATGGGAAATGGAGTCAGAGGGTTCAGTGGGTAACATCATCAGCAGCTGGTCACGAAGGTGCTCAATCTGAGACAAAAAACACTATTTCACTCCCTCACTTCTCGCCATTTCAGTTTAAGTCAATCATATTCATGAAATCACACTTTAATTTCTATGAGGAAGGATATTTAAATTGATTTGCGTAATTATCTGGAACTAGAATTAGAGAGGCACTAGAATTATTTGATCTTACCTGTGCCTGCACCCGCTCCAGCTCAGCTTTGCTCTTCTCTTGCTGTGTGTGCCTCTCTGCCTCAGACTCCGCTAACATAGAAGCTTGCTCCTAGAGCACACCATGATAGGAGTCAATCTAGAGCTTTGGAACTACAGTGTATTCACATTTCACAAAAACTATCCCACTAGATCTAACTGCATCATATCCTCCCAATAATATGTTATATGTATCCAATCAATGTTCCTCGAAAAGGGACAAATCCTCACTTGAGATATGTACGCATAACTCAAAATTCACACCGACACATCAACATGATATACTGTATGTGAAACTTTAAATTACACGCACAGATCTCACGTTAGGATTTGTCCCTGTAAAAGCATTATATTTCTATACACTCTTATAAAAAAGGGTTCTAACTAGAACAATAGAAGCTTCTTCTCCTCTGCAAAGAACCCTCAAAATCCCATTCCACCTCACGATGCCGTAATTTTCCTAAACATAAAACCTTGACATGAAGTTCTAACCCCAATCTTCTTCTCCAGTCTGTTTTTTAGTGAGTCCCTCTCTGTTGTTTGGTGCTCCAGGAGCCTCTGCTTATCCCTCAAAGTAACCTCCAACCTCTCATTATTCTGCAGATAACATGAGAGGAGTAGGGAGGGAGGAAACAGAGTGAAATAGGGAGGTATGCATTCTTTATCTATTTACTTTGAAGAATCAAACATGGTCAGAGAAATGGATATCTACCTTCTTCAGTGTTATCACCTCATGTTCATGGTTGAGCAACTCCTCCTGGTGCTTCTTGATTATTTTGGAGAACTAGGGGACAGAAAGACAGAGAGAGAGGAGAGAAAAGCTGAAATGGGCAACAAAGGGCAAGTGGTTGATAGGAAAAGTGGTTAACAGGAAACCTTGAGGCAGATGGATGTCTGTGGCTTAAATATGGCAGACAGAACAGCAACACCTGCATAGCTATAGCACCCCTTATTTCCTTCAACTAGCAAAAGCTAATATGGTGGTAATTTATTTACAGTATTTCTCAGTTCAAGTAATGGGGCCTCACAAAAGATTCTGGTTTCGACACTAAATCATCTCTGCAATCATTCTCAAAGGACACGGATATCATTCAGCCATAGTAAAGTCTGTGGGGATCTAGATGTGATGACTAGCTTAGAAGGAATGCATTAATGATTAAACATAATGGGTTTGTACTGTACTGATATAAATTGTTTCACATAACAAGCTGTGATTCATGTGAGGAACGTTAGGGGGTAGGATGAGATAAGACTTGTATTTCTCACAGACACGAACACTGCCTCTTTGTGATCTGTGAACCGTCCAAGGACGTAGGTACAGGGGAACAGTGTCTATGGGTGATGACTCTACAGGTTGTGATGATAACAAACTTATGCCTGGCAACAGTGTGCAACAGTGGAGCGCCAAGGGCCTGGGACCAGCCTGTGCGCCAACGATTGGCTGAGTAAGTCTAAACCACGCTCAGTCTCTACTCTGATTGGCCAGCAGGGAGCGGGAACTATCTCTGTCAGAGTATTTTAAGAAGAACTCATAACAATGGCTTAGTTCCCTGAGTGCCCTGCGTGGTATTTCAGTGGACCCGTATATACGAACATCATATTTACCATTGAAGGTTTTGCATTAATTAAAATACTAGTCTATTTTAGAAGACGTGTATTGACCTCTTTTGTTCCTAATACCAGATTTGAATTGACGCAACTTAACAAGTCTTAAAATAATTGTAGTCTATAAAAGTTATTACATTTAATTACTTTAAAGTCAAAGGAAAATTAAGAATCTGGACAGAAATAACTGATAATATGAGATTCTGAGAAATATACTCAAAAACAAAAATAAGGGGGACCTTGGTGGCAGTAGCCCCCAGTTGGATGTCCTTGTGTCGGATGTCCTGCCGGAGTCTGTCCACCTCAGACGCCAGTTTCAGAGCCTGCTTCTCCCTCGAACTCAGGTCTCTCTGTAAGCTTCTTACCAGACCTAAATGGATACCACTTAGTCAGACTGACACTGAAATCCATGGGCACACAGGCATGCACATGCCACAAGCGCGTACACACACACACACACACACCAACCTGAGGCAGTGCTGCTTTCCCTCTTCAGTCTCTCCATCTGACCTCTTAGGTTGGACATCTTCAGGTCTCGCTCGGTGACAGTGTGCCTAAACACCTCACTGGAGCCCCTCTGCAGCTCTACCATCTAAACAAAGAATATGTTATAAAAAACAGACAGTCACTATTACAAACTCTCTATACCTCAATGATAACATTGTGGGAAAACTATTTTAGAATTGCACTTTAAGGCACTCCCAGAAACATAAAAAAATCATGTGACATCGTCTGGTGTTGCGGCGAGTACAGAGTTTGAAAATAAATGGCAAAAGGAACATTATTTCCTAGAAACAGAGAGATTTTTAAAGTGAGACTTCGACAGAAAATGCCACAAATCTCCCAAATTCACATACCAGAATACTGTTTGTCTGTCTGGGGCATGGGCTCAGGGAGAGAGTGAAAGGGTCAGAGAGAACGACATCACTCAACATGGTCACAGCGAAGGGCGCGAGAGCAGGGCCAGTGAGATCGAGATCGAGAGCCGAAGGACTGAAGCTACAGATACCACCTACAAACAGAAGAGTGGCCAGACCACCACCCCTGACATCTGGACTGAGCTGAAGGAGCTGAGAGACATGGTGCACAACATGGGATCAAGCACTCGTGGTGGAACAGAAGACTGAACTGCAATGCTCTATCATACTATCCAGGTCTGTGCCCAAACAGTTTGAGCTTCTACTTCTAAAAATCCACCTTTCCAGAAATAAGTCTCTCACTGTTGCCGCTTGCTACAGACCCCCCTCAGCCCCCAGCTGTGCCCTGGACACCATATGTGAATTGATTGCCCCCCATTTATCCTCAGAGTTCGTACTGCTTGGTGACCTAAATTGGGATATGCTTAATACCCCGGCCATCCTACAATCCAAATTAGATGCCCTCAACCTCACGCAAATTATCAACGAACCTACCAGGTACAACCCTAAATCCGTAAACATGGGTACCCTCATAGATATCATCCTGACTAACATACCCTCTAAATACACCTCAGCTGTCTTCAACCAGGATCTCAGCGATCACTGCCTTATTGCCTGCGTCCGTAACGGGTCCGCGGTCAAACGACCACCCCTCATCACTGTCAAACGCTCCCTAAAACACTTTAGCGAGCAGGCCTTCCTAATTGACCTGGCCCAGGTATCCTGGATGGATATAGATCTCATTCCGTCAGTAGAGGATGCCTGGTTGTTCTTTAAAAGTAATTTCCTCTCAATCTTAAATAAACATGCCCCATTCAAAAAATACAGAACTAAGAACCGATATAGCCCCTGGTTCTCCTCAGACTTGACTGCCCTTGACCAGCACAAAAACATCCTGTGGCGTACTGCATTAGCATCAAATAGCCCCCGCGATATGCAACTTTTCAGGGAAGTTAGGAACCAATATACACAAGCAGTCAGGAAAGCAAAGGCTAACTTTTTCAAACAGAAATTTGCATCCTGTAGCACTAACTTCAAAAAGTTTTGGGACACTGTAAAGTCCATGGAGAATAAGAGCACTTCCTCCCAGTTGCCCACTGCACTGAGGCTAGGAAACACTATCACCACCGATAAATCTACAATAATCGAGAATTTCAACAAGCATTTTGCTACAGCTGGCCATGCTTTCCATCTGGCTACCACTACCCCAGCCACCAACTCTGCACCCTCCGCTGCAACTTGCCCATGCTCCCCCCGCTTCTCCTTCACACAAATTCAGACAGCTGATGTTCTGAAAGAGCTGCAAAATCTGGACCCCTACAAATCAGCTGGGCTAGACAATCTGGACCCTTTCTTTCTAAAACTAGCCGCCGAAATTGTCGCAACCCCTATTACTAGTCTGTTCAACCTCTCTTTCATAACGTCTGAGATCCCCAGAGATTGGAAAGCTGCCGCGGTCATCCCCCTCTTCAAAGGGGGTGACACTCTAGATCCAAACTGCTACAGACCTATATCCATCCTGCCCTGCCTTTCGAAAGTATTTGAAAGCCAAGTTAACAAACAGATCACCGACCATTTCGAATACCACCGTACCTTCTCCGCTATGCAATCCGGTTTCCGAGCTGGTCATGGGTGCACTTCAGCCACACTCAAGGTCCTAAACGATATTATAACCGCGATTGATAATAGACAGTACTGTGCAGCCGTCTTCATCGACCTGGCCAAGGCTTTCGACTCTGTCAACCACCGCATTCTTATTGGCAGACTAAATAGCCTTGGTTTCTCAAATGACTGCCTCGCCTGGTTCACCAACTACTTCTCAGATAGAGTTCAGTGTGTCAAATCGGAGGGCCTGTTGTCTGGACCTATGGCAGTCTCTATGGGGGTGCCACAGGGTTCAATTCTTGGGCCGACACTTTTCTCTGTGTATATCAATGATGTCGCTCTTGCTGCTGGTGACTCTCAGATCCACCTCTACGCAGACGACACCATTTTGTATACATCTGGCCCTTCATTGGACACTGTGTTAACAAACCTCCAAACGAGCTTCAATGCCATACAACACTCCTTCAGTAGCCTCCAACTGCTCTTAAACACTAGTAAAACTAAATGCATGCTTTTCAATCGAACGCTGCTGGCACCCGCCCACCCGACTAGAATCACCACTCTCGACGGGTCTGACCTAGAGTATGTGGACAACTACAAATACCTAGGTGTCTGGTTAGACTGTAAACTCTCCTTCCAGACTCACATTAAGAATCTCCAATCCAAAGTTAAATCTAGAATCGGCTTCCTATTTCGCAACAAAGCCTCCTTCACTCATGCTGCCAAACATGCCCTCGTAAAACTGACTATCCTACCGATCCTTGACTTCGGCGATGTCATTTACAAAATAGCCTCCAACACTCTACTCAGCAAACTGGATGTAGTCTATCACAGTGCCATCCGTTTTGTCTCCAAAGCCCCATACACTACCCACCACTGTGACCTGTACGCTCTTGTTGGCTGGTCCTCACTACATGTTCGTTGTCAAACCCACTGGCTCCAGGCCATCTATAAATCACTGCTAGGCAAATCCCTGCCTTATCTTAGCTCATTGGTCACCATAGCAGCACCCACCCGTAGTCTGCGCTCCAGCAGGTATATCTCACTGGTCATTCCCAAAGCCAACACCTCCTTTGGCCGCCATTCCTTCCAGTTCTCTGCTGCCAATGACTGGAACGAATTGCAAAAATCTCTGAAGCTGGAGACTCTTACCTCCCTCACTAACTTTAAGCATCAGTTGTCAGAGCACCTTACCGATCACTGCACCTGTACACAGCCCATCTGAAATTAGCCCACCCAACTACCTCCTCCCTATATTGTTATTTATTTTGCTCTTTTGCACCCTAGTATCTCTATTTGCACATAATCTCTTGCACATCTAGCATTCCAGTGTTAATACTATTGTAATTATTTTGCACTATAGCCTATTTATTGCTTTACCTCCATAACTTGCTACATTTGCACCACTGTATATATATTTTCTGTTGTATTTTTGACTTTATGTTTTCTTACCCCATATGTAACTCTGTGTTGTTTTTATCGCACTGCTTTGCTTTATCTTGGCCAGGTCGCAGTTGTAAATGAGAACTTGTTCTCAACTGGCTTACCTGGTTAAATAAAGGTGAAATAAATAAATTAAAAAATTTAAAAAATGCCAAAAAATACAAAGTAGACAAGCTAGAGAGAGAAAACGCAGGTAATGTCAGAAAATATGCCATTATGATCAATGAGAAAAATTGATGTAAACTGCATTTCTAAGTTTGTTAATAGATACCAATAGTAATATTTATATTGATAGTTTAGACTGTTGAATGAACTGATGCTTCTTTCCTTCCATGTTATTTCAGGTCAGAGTGACAGCCAGTGAGAGTGGGAACACAGGTAATAAAAATAACACATTGATACAATAAACTTCTATCCTATATTATTTTTGAACTGACGCAAGCCTTCAGTTCCCAGTCAAGGTTATCATAACATGAGCCGTTTAACTCAATTAAAGTTTCTGTTACAACAGCTTTGGAGGACAGACTGAGTGCCAGTGAGAAGGAGGTGGAAGAACTGAAGAGAGAGAATGTAGGTAATGAAAAAATGACACCCAGCAGCCAAATGCACAATGTTACTTTAGGCCTAATCAATAGGTTGATATTCAGTATAATGCACAATTTTGTTGAACTAATATTGAATTCACTTTTATTTTCAGTTCAAATTAGCAACTTGATGAATGAGTGATGGTTTGTGATACGCTAATGCTGATCCAATATCCAGACATGAATATACTGTTGGGTGGTGCTCCCGTTAAAATGGAGATAGCCTTCCACGGCATTGCCCATGCTGTTACAGAATAGCTGGATCATTCCATGAATAGAGTACATTTTGGGTAGTGTAACTTGGTCAAAATAAAGTATTCATTTCACCTAATTTTAACATTCTGTCATAAAGAGCACATGTTCAACTTCATAAAAAACATGTTCTCCCATCTCAAGGTGTAAAAAAATGGCTATAGTAATGCCATTAAAGTAACAGGGTTGACCATAACAGGGTTGAGGTATTCATCTTAAGTCAACCATAAATCCCCATGTGTTAGGGGGAATGGAAGCTTGTTGGTGAGACAGGGAGGGGCAATTGAATGCAAGCTTGTCACTTTAGATTTATTGTTAAAATATTTCTAGCCTATCTATCTATGGGTAACATGGTTGACGTGTGATGCTCGACACGTTCAGTTTTCCACCACAAAACACCAGAAAATTGCCAAAAACAGTAGAACCAGCTCACCTGCGTTTACACTATGATTTGACTATTATATGTTCAATGTTTCTTTTGAAATAATATTTAAAAAGGAATAGTTTCACCATATTAAAATGAGAGTTCGGTTCACGTAACAGGGTTGACCTTAAAATGAGGAACGGACAGAAATTAATCACTAATCATAAATTAATAATAATCTTCAGAAATGACTGTCAAAGCAAGAACATAACTAGGGCTTTACAATGACGGTGAAAACTTGAAGAAATCTTGGGGGTAAGTGGGTTACAATCTCCCTATAATTTGGAAAAACTGGGGACTTTAACAAGTCTTGATTCATATTAAAAATCAGATTTATTGAATTTTGCATACGGTCTATATTAAAGGGCACTACATTTAATATAACAGGCTTTTGAAATTCAATATTGGTGCACAATTTCTACTAAAATATCAAAGGGACAAAAAATGTACTCTATTCGTGTAATGACCCAGCCATCAAATGGCAAAGACAGGAGGTGTGCCCTCTAGCTTTTGTTACACTAGACAAAAAGTAGGCAAGCTACATTGTTTATTTTTGTTTATGTTATTTACGTTTTCGACTTTCAAGTCTAGTAGCTAATTATTGTCTTTATGTTATTTCAGCCCTGGTGGCCAGAATGGCAGCCAGTGAGAGTGGGAAAAGAGGACGTTGATCTGGAATAACTCAACTGTTTTGTATCAGTGTGTCTTTTCATTCCGTTTTAGCCTTGGAGGCCAGACTGAGTGCCAGTGAGAGGGAAGTGGAAGAGCTGAAGAGAGCGAATGCAGGTAAACAGCAGGGTTGGGGTCAATTCGGAATTTCATAATTTAATTCAATTAATCCCAACTCAAAGAAATTCAACTGAGACATGAAAGTCTCATTCCTTTGACCCACTGGGCACAGACAACATTTATTTTTCGTCTAGTTTTGATTTACATTTGGGTGAGTTGTCAATTAACGTGAATTCAACATCAAATCAACAAAACATTTCACCATGTCATTGGATTTAGGTAAAAAGTTGTGTGAAAAAAATATGAAATTATTTTACGTTGATCATTTTTTTCAAATCCAATCAGTTTTCCACGTTGATTCAACGTCATCACATTGAATTGTTTGGTTGAAATGACGTGGAAACAATGTTGATTTAAACAGTTTTTGCCCAGTGGGAAATCAGCACAATCTACTTTTTCGGTTTTCCAGTATGAGGTATGGTGATATATGAATACATTTTGAGTTATCAGAGTTATCTCCCCTGTGTTCACAGACAGACCAAAGGTGGCCTTCTCTGTTGGTTTGACTAGGACTGTAGGACCATTCAATGTATTTATTTATTTATTTTTATTTATTTAACCTTTATTTAACCAAGTAGGCCAGTTGAGAACAAGTTCTCATTTACAACTGCGACCTGGCCAAGATAAAGCAGTGCGATAAAAACAACAACACAGAGTTACATATGGGGTAAAACAAAACATAAAGTCAAAAATACAACAGAAAATATATATACAGTGTGTGCAAATGTAGCAAGTTATGGAGGTAAGGCAATAAATAGGCTATAGTGCAAAATAATTACAATTAGTATTTACACTGGAATGATAGATGATGTGCAAATAGAGATACTGGGGTGCAAATGAGCAAAATAAATAACAATATGGGGATGAGGTAGTTGGGTGGGCTAATACTGACACTACACTGGTCTACAATACAATCATCACCATCATTGGCACAGCCTACAACCCAACTACAGGAACTGACCATGCTAATAAACATTGAATCAAGCTACAGTCCAGCATTACTAGTAGTATCTATGAGAGACGAAAAGTGCTGATCTCTCCCTGCTTCCCCTCTGATGCAGGTATCTTCACAGCACCAGTGAGAGGGGTCTACTACTTCAGATTCACTGCCTTTGACTACCGCTCTGATTACAACATGAGTGTTTACCTTTACCACAACGACCAGAAACAGATGAATAACTTTGATCAAAATGATGTGTGTCAAAGTTACATATCTAATGCATTGTCTCTAGAGCGGGAGCAGGGGGGTGTGGTCTACATGCATCTTCCCTCAGGGTGTGGGCTCTATGAAGGTACTATTTATAATCTTAACACCTTCAGTGAGGATGTCATTGCATCTGAGTCAGCACTGTCCCTAATAGATAGTCTACATCCTATTCGCACATATGCACCTTCATAATTCAGATGCTTGTTAAATGGTTTACGCAATACATTATATCTAAAATATATTTATCTAGCTACAGTACCAGCTGATCGGGGATTTCATCATTTAGATGATATTTTAATGGTTCAGCTTCACCGTCAGAAATAGATTCAAAACCTTGTTTCAAAACGAGCAACAGCAATCCTTTCAAGCAGCATGTGCATGGATACAGTCTCACTCTGTAGCAGTCAGAACTATTTTGGTTATTTTAGAAGAGGTATTAGTTACACTGAGCACATCAGAACTGTGTTTAATTGAATGTGGAATAATAGCCTGTCATTAGCTAGAAGTATAAGAAATCATCACATTTTTTCAATGCAGGTTTTCAGAAAGGTCGCAGCAGAATCAAACTATTATTACCAGGGTACAGTGGCTTTCGAAAGTATTCACCCCCCTTGGCATTTTTCCTATTTTGTTGCCTTACAATCTGGAATTAAAATAGATTTTTGTGGGGTTTGTATCATTTGATTTACACAACATGCCTACCACTTTGAAGATGCAAAATATTTTTTATTGTGAAACAAACAAGAAATAAGACAAAAAAACTAAAAACTTGAGCGTGCATAACTATGTCTCTATAAGCTTGGCACATCTAGCCACTGGGATTTTTGCCCATTCTTCAAGGCAAAACAGCTCCAGCTCCTTCAAGTTGGATGGGTTCCGCTGGTGTACAGCATTCTTTAAGTCATACCACAGATTCTCAATTGGATTGAGGTCTGGGCTTTGACTAGGCCATTCCAAGACATTTAAATGTTTCCCCTTAAACCACTTGAGTGTTGCTTTAGCAGTATGCTTAGGGTCATTGTCCTGCTGGAAGGCGAACCTCTATCCCAGTCTCAAATCTCTGCAAGACTGAAACAGGTTTCCCTCAAGAATTTCCCTGTAATTAGCGCCATCCATCGTTCCTTCAATTCTGACCAGTTTCCCAGTCCCTGCCGATGAAAAACATCCCCACAGCATGATGCTGCCACCACCATGCTTCACTGTGGTGAGAGGTGTTGAGTTTGCGCCAGACATAGTGTTTTCCTTGATGGCCAAAAAGCTCAATTTTAGTCTCATCTGACCAGAGTACCTTCTTCCATTTGTTTGGGGAGTCTCCCACATGCCTTTTGGCGAACACCAAACTTGTTTACTTATTTTTTTCTTTAAGCAATGGCTTTTTGTCTGGCCACTCTTCAGTAAAGCCCAGCTCTGTGGAGTGTACGGCTTTAAGTGGTCCTATGGACAGATACTCCAATCTCAGCTGTGGAGCCTTGCAGCTCCTTCAGGGTTATCTTTGGTCTCTTTGTTGCCTCTCTGATTAATGCCCTCCTTGCCTGGTCCGTGAGTTTTGGTGGGCAGCCCTCTCTTGGTAGGTTTGTTGTGGTACCATATTCTTTCAATTTTTTAATAATGGATTTAATGGTGCTCCGTGGGATGTTCAAAGTTTAGATATTTTTTTTATAACCCAACCCTGATCTGTACTTCTCCACAACTTTGTCCCTGACCTGTTTGGAGAGCTTCTTGTTCTTCATGGTGCCGCTTGCTTAGTGGTGTTGCAGAATCTGGGGCCTTTCAGAACAGGTGTATATATACTGAGATCATGTGACAGATCATGTGACACTTAGATTGCACACAGGTGGACTTTATTTAACTAATTATGTGACTTCTGAAGGTAATTGGTTGCACTAGATCTTATTTAGGGGCTTCATAGCAAAGGGGGTGAATACATATGCACGCACCACTTTTCCGTTATTTAGTTTTTATAAAAAAATTTAACAAGTTATTTATTTCATTTCACTTCATCAATTTGGACTATTTTGTGTATGTCCATTACATGAAATAAAAATAAAAATCAATTTAAAATTACAGGTTGTAATGCAACAAAATAGGAAAAACGCCAAGGGGGATGAATACTTTTGCAAGGCACTGTACACAACGAAAAATGAAAATGAGTGTTTCTTATTGGACAAGTCCAGGTTCTCCCTCCCTGTTTCAATTAATGTACTTTTGTTTGGTGCCTAATGAATACAGCCTTGGTATCAGTGTGCGGACAGTAGCTACAGTGCTTTCGGAAAGTATTCACACCCCTTAACTTTTCCCACATTTTGTTGTGTTACTGCCTGAATTTAAAATGGGATAAATTGAGATTTGTTGACACTGGCCTACACACAATACTCCATAATGTCAAAGTGGAATTATGTTTTTCGAAATGTTACAAATGATTTAAAAATGAAAAGCTCAAATGTATTGAGTCAATAAGTATTCAACCCCTTTGTTATGGCAAGCCTAAATAAGTTCAGGAGTAACAATGTGCTTAACAAGTCACATGATAAGATGCATGGACTCACTGTGTGCAATAATAGTGTTGACCATGATTTGTTAATGACTACCTCATCTCTGTACCCCACACATACAATTATCTCTGTCAAGCAGTGAATTTCAAGAACAGATTCAACCACAAAGACCAGGGAGGTTTTCCAATGGGGACACCTTTTGGTAGATGGGTAAAAAAAGCAGACATTGAATATCCCTTTGAGCATGGTGAAGTTATTAATTACACTTTGGATGGTGTATCAATAAACCCAGTCACTACAAAGATACAGGTGTCCTTCCTAACTCAGTTGCCAGAGAGGAAAGAAAGAGTTGAATGTATGTGATAGGAGAAAATTGAGGATGGATCAACAACATTATAGTTACTCCACAATACTAACCTAATTGACAAAGTGAAAAGAAGGAAGCCTGTTCAGAATAAAAATATTCAAAAACATGCATCCTATTTGCAACAAGGCACTAAAGTAATACTGCAAAACATTTGGCTAAGCAATTCACTTTTTGTCATGTATAAAAAGTGTTATGTTTGGGGCAAATCCAATACAACACATTACTAAGTACCACTCTCCATATTTTCAAGCATAGTGGTGGCTGCATCGTGTCATAGGTACAGTGGGGAAAAAAAGTATTTAGTCAGCCACCAATTGTGCAAGTTCTCCCACTTAAAAAGATGAGAGAGAACTGTAATTTTCATCATAGGTACACGTCAACTATGACAGACAAAATGAGAAAAAAAAATCCAGAAAATCACATTGTAGGATTTTTAATGAATTTATTGGCATATGATGGTGGAAAATAAGTATTTGGTCAATAACAAAAGTTTCTCAATACTTTGTTATATACCCTTTGTTGGCAATGACACAGGTCAAATGTTTTCTGTAAGTCTTCAAAAGGTTTTCACACACTGTTGCTGGTATTTTGGCCCATTCCTCCATGCAGATCTCCTCTAGAGCAGTGATGTTTTGGGGCTGTCGCTGGGCAACACAGACTTTCAACTCCCTCCAAAGATTTTCTATGGGGTTGAGATCTGGAGACTGGGTAGGCCACTCCAGGACCTTGAAATGCTTCTTACGAAGCAACTCCTTCGTTGCCCGGGCGGTGTGTTTGGGATCATTGTCATGCTGAAAGACCCAGCCACGTTTCATCTTCAATGCCCTTGCTGATGGAAGGAGGGTTTCACTCAAAATCTCACGATACATGGCCCCATTCATTCTTTCCTTTACACGGATCAGTCGTCCTGGTCCCTTTGCAGAAAAACAGCCCCAAAGCATGATGTTTCCAACCCCATGCTTCACAGTAGGTATGGTGTTCTTTGGATGCAACTCAGCATTCTTTGTCCTCCAAACATGACGAGTTGAGTTTTTACCAAAAAGTTATATTTTGGTTTCATCTGACCATATGACATTCTCCCAATCCTCTTCTGGATCATCCAAATGCACTTCAGACGGGCCTGGACATGTACTGGCTTAAGCAGGGGGACACGTCTCGCACTGCAGGATTTGAGTCCCTGGCGGCGTAGTGTGTTACTGATGGTAGGCTTTGTTACTTTGGTCCCAGCTCTCTGCAGGTCATTCACTAGGTCCCCCCCGTGTGGTTCTGGGATTTTTGCTCACCGTTCTTGTGATCATTTTGACCCCACGGGGTGAGATCTTGCGTGGAGCCCCAGATCGAGGGAGATTATCAGTGGTCTTGTATGTCTTCCATTTCCTAATAATTGCTCCCACAGTTGATTTCTTCAAACCAAGCTGCTTACCTATTGCAGATTCAGTCTTCCCAGCCTGGTGCAGGTCTACAATTTTGTTTTTGGTGTCCTTTGACAGCTCTTTGGTCTTGGCCATTGTGGAGTTTGGAGTGTGACTGTTTGAGGTTGTGGACAGGTGTCTTTTATACTGATAACAAGTTCAAACAGGTGCCATTAATACAGGTAACGAGTGGAGGACAGAGGAGCCTCTTAAAGAAGAAGTTACAGGTCTGTGAGAGCCAGAAATCTTGCTTGTTTGTAGGTGACCAAATACTTATTTTCCACCATAATTTGCAAATAAATTCATTAAAAATCCTACAATGGGATTTTCTGGATTTTTTTTTCACAATTTGTCTGTCATAGTTGACGTGTACCTATGATGAAAATTACAGGCCTCGCTCATCTTTTTAAGTGGGAGAACTTGCACAATTGGTGGCTGACTAAATACTTTTTTTCCCCACTGTATGCTTATAATTGTTAAGGACTGGGGAGTTTTTCAGGATAAAAAAGAAATGGAATGGAGCTAAGCATAGGCAAAATCCTAGCGGAAAACCTGGTTCAGTCTGCTTTCCACCTGACAGTGGGAGATTAATTCACGCTTCAGCAGGACAATAACCTAAAACACATGGCCAAATCTACATTGAAGTTGCTTACCAAGAAGACAGTGAATGTTCCTGACAAGCCGAGTTACAGTTTTGACTTAAATCTACTTGAAAATCTATGGCAAGACCTGGAAATGGTTGTCTAGCAATAATCAACAACCAATTTGACAGAGCTTGAAGAATTTTGAAAATAGTTATGAGCAAACGTTGCACAATCCAGGTGTGAAAAGCTCTTCGAGACTTACCCAGAAAGCTGTAATTGCTGCCAAAGGCACTTCTACAAAGCATTGACTCATGGGTGTGAATACTTATGTAAATAAGATATTCCTGTAATTCATTTTCAATACATTTGCAAAGATGTTTTCACTTTCTCATTATGGGGTATTGTGTGTAGATTGTGTGTAGATGGGTAAGACAAAAAATATATTTAATCCATTTGGAATTCAGGCTGTAACACAACAAAATGTGGACTAAGTCAAGGGGTATGAATACTTTCTGAAGGCACTTTACCTGCTCCTTCAACCTTTCGATCTGCTCCCTCTTGTCGTTGATGTCCCTCTCCAGACTGAGCAGCCTATGTTTGATCTCCTGGTCGGTCTGCTGGCTCTGGGTCAGCTGGTGTCTCAGAGCTGACGTCTCATCCCTCAGCCCTGCAATCACCCTGTCCTTCCTCTGGGACTCACTCTCAAACACAGCCAGCCTGCTGATCTCGTCTCCCAGCCGAAGCAGCCTCTCCTCCTAGCCAGAGCACAAGGAAGGAAGAGAGTTGCTAGTGGGTAACCTGCTCTGGGTGTTCTTAACTTTTTTTACATAACGTCTCCACCATAATTTCCTATGACTGAACACGGCGCACACTGACACCAAGGCTTCTGGACATCAGAACAGCGGTCACTACCTCGATTTGCATGAAGATTTCTACTTCAACGAGTCAGCAGCAAGTCGTCCAGGTCCTGAGGCAGCAAAGCATCCCCAAACCATCACACCACCACCACCACGCTTGACCTTTGGTATGATGTTCTTACTGTGGAATGCAGTGTTTGGTTTTCACCAGGCATAATGGGACCCATCTCGTCCAAAAAGTTGACTCAAGTTTGCCAAAAAGCACCTGGATGATCATCAAGACTCTTGGAAAAATGTTCTATGGACAGATGACTCAAAAGTATAACTTTTTGGACGACATGGTTCCAGTAATGCCTGGCGAAAACCAAACTCTGCATTCCACAGTAAGAACATCATACCAAAGGTCAAGCATGGTGGTGGTGGTGTGATGGTTTGGGGATGCTTTGCTGCCTCAGGACCTGGACGACTTGCCTTAATAGAAGGAACCATGAATTCTGCTCTGTATCAGAGAATTCTACAGGAGAATGTCAGACCATCCGTCTGTGAGCTGAAGCTGAAGCGCAGCTGGGTCATGCAGCAAGACAATGATCCAAAACACACAATCAAATCTACATGAAAATTGCTAAAAAGCAACAAATTTGAAGTTTTGGAATGGCCTAGTCAAAGTCCAGACCTAATCCCAATTGAGATGTTGTGGCAGGACTTGAAACGAGCAGTTCATGCTTGAAAACCCACACGTCACTGAGTTAAAGCAGTTCTGCATGGAAGAGTGGGCCAAAATTCCTCCACAGCGACGTGAGAGACTGATCAACAACTACAGGAAGCATTTGGTTGGAGTCATTGCAGCTAAAGGTGGCACAACCAGTTATTGAGTGTAAGGGGGCAATTACTTTTTCACACAGGGGAATTGGGTGTTGCATAACTTTGTTTATGAAATAAATATGTAATTGTTGTGTTATTTGTTCACTTATGTTCCCTTTATCTAATATTAGGTTTTGGTTGAAGATCTGATAACATTCAATATCACAAATATGCAAAAGTAGAGAAAATTAGAAAGGGGGCAAATACTTTTTCATAGCACTGTCTATATTGACAAAAAAAATATATGGGGGTTTGGAAATTATGTAGACAATTACATTTTTTATTTTATTTTACCTTTATTTAACTAGGCAAGTCCGTTAAGAACAAATTCATATTTACAATGACGGCCTACACCGGCCAAACCCGGACGACGCTAGGCCAATTGTGCGCCGCCCTATGGGACTCCCAATCACGGCCAGTTGTGATACAGCCTGGAATCGAACCAGGGGGTCTATAGTGACGCCTCAAGCACTGAGATGCAGTGCCTTAGACCACTGCGCCACTCAGGAGCCCAACATTGATAGAAGCCACAATCTATCTGCAGTATTAAAGCTGATCTACCCCCTAATATATATATATATATATATATATATATATTTTTTTTTTTTTAAAGGTTAGCGGGGCCAGATGGATTACCAGGATGCGTACTCAGGGCATGCGCTGATCAGCTGGCAATTGTCTTCACTGACATTTTCAACCTCTCCCTGATCTTGTCTGTAATAGCTACATGTTTCAAGCAGAACACCATAGTCCCTGTGCCCAAGAACGGCAAGGCAACCTGTCTAAATGACTATCACCTCGTAGGACACATCTGTAGCCATGAAATGTTTTGAAAGGCTGGTCATGGCTCACATCAACACCATCATCCCAGACACCCTGGACCCACTCCAATTTGCATACCGCCCCAACAGATCCACAGATAACGCAGATGACGCAATCTCTATTTACTCCACACTGCCATCTCCTACCTGGATAAGAGGAACACCTATGTGAGAACGTTGTTCATTGACTACACCATAGTGCCCTCCAAGCTCATCACTAAGGATTGAACACCTCCCTCTGCAACTGGATCCTGGACTGGTGGTGAGGGTAGGCAACAACACATCCACCACGCTGACCGTCAACACGAGGGCCCCTCAGGGGTGTGTGCTTAGTCTCCTCCTGTACTCCCTGTTCCCCCACGACTGCGTGGACATGCACGACTCCAACACTATCATTAAGTTTGCTGACGACAAGATGGCGGGAGGCCTGATTACCGACGACAATTAGGCAGCCTATAGGGATGAGGTCAGTGACCTGGCTGTGTGGTGCCAGGACAACAACCTTTCCCTCAATGTCAGCAAGACAAAGGAGCTGATCATGGAATACATGAAATGGAGGGCTGAGCACGCCCCCATCCACATCGACAGGGCTGTAGTGGAGTGGGTCAAGCGCTTCAAGTTCCTCAGTGTCCACATCTCTAAGGAATTATCGTGGTCCACACACACACCAACACAGTCGTGAAGAAGGCACGACAACGCCTCTGCCCCTCAGGAGACTGAAACGATTCGGCATGGGCCCTCAGATCCTCAAAAAGTTATACAGCTGCACCATTAAGAGCATCTTGACTGGCTGCATCACCGCTTGGTATGGCAACTATTTGGCATCCGACCGCAAGGCGCTACAGAGGGTAGTGCATCTGGCCCAGTACATTCCTGGGGCTGAGCTCCCTGCCATCCAGGACCTCTATACCAGGCGGTGTCAGAGGAAGGCCCTAAAAATGGTCAAAGACTCCAGCCACCCAAGTCATAGACTGTTCTCTCTGCTACTGCACGGCAAGTGGTACCGATGCTTATTATCTATCATGTTGCCTAGTCACTTTACCCCTATCTATATGTACATATCTACCTCAATTACCTCGTACCCCAGCACATCGACTCGACCCCAGCACATCGACCCGTGTATAGCGAAGTTGTCGTTACTCATTGTGTATTTATGCCTTGTGTTATCTTTCTCTTATTTTTCAATTTTTCTCTCGTAAGCATTTCACTTATAGTCTACACCTGTTGTTTACAAAGCATCTGACGAATAACATTTGATTTGATTTTGTTAGTATGCTGTTTAGAGAGTTATTCAACATGTTTGGTAGTACAAGGCAAACAGGGAAAGGGCTGGATAAATGTAAACCAGAGACACATTTCTATTTTCACTGGGGGAACAAAGGCTTGGGTGAACTTCCACATTGGTATTTTATATAGTGGTTACACAATCACAAGACCACCAACAAGACTACCAACAAGACCACTAACAAGACAGATGCCCACCTTCTCCTGTAAGAGGTGCTGCATGGTCTGAGAACTTTGAGATGCCATTGCTCCGGTTCTCTGAGGGGGCCCGCTTCCTGTGTGTCCAGTCCAACTTCCTGCAAAAACCAAGAGTCTCATGTACAAGTGATGCATTTACACACACCTTCACCTATTGAAACCAACTCAAATGTAAACAGAGGTGCGTTCAATAAGGCATACTGTTCACAAACCTTAGCTAATATAGAGTATCTAACATGGCATCAAATGATTAGACCATGTACGTTGTGTGCCCAGTCAGATACAGTATAATTCAGTCACCTGGTCTGCATGAGGTTGTCCCTTGTTGTTCGGAGGGGTTGCTCTGCCCAGTCCGTTTGGCCCCCGCACTGGCTGGTCGAGCCCGGCTGGGGGGATGAGGGGTGACAGATGATCCCCCCCATACCCATGCAACAGGGACAGAAGTATTGCCAGGTAGTAGAGGGAGCTGGGAGGAGGTGGAGGAGGGAGACGGGGCGAGGGGGGGCTCCTCTTTCAGCTGCAGGGATTTCTGACAGGCTGTCCGGTTGTTCATGGGAGGGCAGGGGAGCTGGAGAGAGATAGAGAGATACATAGAGGCAGGTAGGCTGACACATACAACACCTCAACACCAATGAGGCCATGCAGCTTAACAACAGATTAACACCACTGACCAAATAGATAGGGAATAGTGATAGGTTTTAAAGCAAGCAAAGAGTGGATAACTTCTTACTGCAGCATTGGAAGATATCTAGTAGATAAGAAAGTATGGCCTATATGCACTACAGACTACATAAATCATACCATAGATGGGCTTTCTACAGCTAACTGGTATGTGGAGCCTCCATAGCCAAAGTGCAGTTCATCGCCTGGGGTTAGACGCACGGCTGCATTGTGGATACGACAGTCGTTGACATAGGTACCATGGGCGGAGTTCAGGTCACTCAGGACAAAGCATGGCTCTGATTTGCTCCACTCGATAAGGGCATGATGCTCCTCAACTCCTCCATTCTGTCAATCATGCGCATAAAGCAGTCAATATAATAGTAATTCTGTACAGAAGATCACATTTAAAAATTGATAAAGCCAGCACACGTATTCCAATACCAAGATCAGGACATATTTACTGTATTACTCAGTTCTATATTTTTCAATACAGATGACTATTATTATTATTATTATTACCAACATCAATACAGAGGGCTTTCCCACAATCAATCCAGTTTTGGCTGATAGGTGTGTGTCCCGGTAGCCTATCGTTATATTACATTATCGTTATATTATATAAAATAAAATAATAGCATTTTATGTTTTGTACAGACAGAAATTAGGAGTTTGAGGATGTAACATCATGACCTTACCTGTAAACATAAATCGCAATCCCTATGTGTTCCTACTGTAGTGGTTTCGGCCTGGAGTTTAAATACCCACCCCGTTGTTTTCAGGTAACCCCTCATATCCACCTGTAAAGCATTACCAAATGAATAATCTTACCACATATGCACGTAATAGCTCCCTAAAAAATGGACATGAGACGTGCACGTAATAGATCCCTAAAAAATTGACATGAGACGTGTCAGCAACTTCAACTTGGCAATGGCATATTTTGCTTGATAAGTACTGCGACTGTTTAACTTGACTTTGTTTTAAGATATGATTTGAATAAATGATACATTAACATGTTACAATATACAGTATTCTCCCATAAATTAAAGAGACAAACACGTTTTTGAGGCGTTTTTACAATCAAGTGTAAAGGTTTAAATGGAGTCCACCCAAAACAACGCGGGCAACAGTTCTATCCAACTTGAGAAAATATATTATTTTTGAGACACAATTTTTACTTTCCTTAAAACGAGGCAGACAGTCCGAAATGTATCCAATTCATTCAACAGTGGAGAACAAACATTGTAGCCTACAGGTTTGTACATACAAATCAGCTTGACTTCGGATTGTATATCAGCGCCATGGAAACTATACTAGACTCCGCCCTTGGTCTATTTAACCATTTGTTGCATCTGATGGGTGACTTCGGGGAATCTTTAGTCTATGGAAAAAAACGAATTGCTGGAAAACATGTGGTTCATAAATCTATAATTCCTGGAGAAATGCATAGTAAAATGGTTGACAAAATCAATATTTGATAATTAAAGTAATACATATTTTATTCAAATACTGTAACATGAATCAAGAATATAAATATTTTTTTCAGTATGATTTATAATACATATATATTTTATAGTGCAGGGTTCCCCAACTGGCGGCTCACGGGACGAAAATGGTCTGCAGGTGATTTTATTTGGCCCCCAAAGTTTTGGACATAAAATACTGTAAAAACGCCAGAAAATCACCTCCAAATGATTTTTATTTCAAAATCTGTTCCAAAGTAATCCCACACATAATATGAGATCTTATAAAAATGTAAGCATATTATGTTTTAGTCCAAAATTATATCGGTTTAGGCTTCTTGTGGTGAATTTGCTGTCTACAAATGATTTGTAATTATGTTCCGGCCCCCTTACCATCCGCTCAAGAAAAAAATCTGCCCGCGGCTAAATCGAGTTGATGATCCCTGTAATAGTGTAACGAAAGTATACATAATTGCCCATTATTTTCTTCAAATAATATGTTTCCCTGTTGTGTTATTTTATCCTCACCTGTCTGTGCATATATGTGTGCAGAAGCACTTATCTAATGGCTGCCTAGGTAATCCAAAACCTCTCATAAGCAAAAAAAAAAATTGAAATAATTTAGTACATTCAAAAAGAACTGGGCCAAATATATGGCAAAGAAAAAAATTGCAGGCATTTACAATGCCTTCAGAAAGTATTCACACCCCTTGACTTTTTCCACATTTTGGTGTTTTACAGCCTGAATTTAAAATGTGTTAAATTTAGATTTTTGGTCACTGGCCTACATACAATACCCCATAATGTCAAAGTGGAATTATGTTTTCAAAATGTATACAAATGAATAAACATTTCAATCCCTTTGTTATGGCAAGCCTAAATAAGTTCAGGAGTAAAAATTTGCTTAACAAGTCACATAATATGTTGCATGGTGTCACGTACGAAGGAACGGGACGGACCAAGGTGCAGCGTGAACGGCGAACATGTTTATTAACTAATAAACACACGAAACAGTAACCAAAACAACAAACTTAACCGTGACGGTCCAAAGGCTAACACACAAGCCTAAACATGAACATAACAAAATCCCACAACGCAGGCAGGAAAACTGGTTGCCTAAGTATGATCCCCAATCAGAGACAACGAGCGACAGCTGCCTCTGATTGGGAACCACACCCGGCCAAACATAGAAATACAAACCTAGAATATATTCACACCCTGACCAAACTAGCTAGAGTTCTATAGGCCAGGGCGTGACACATGGACTCAATCTGTGTGCAATAATAGTGTTTAACATGATTTTGAATAACTACCTCACACATACAGATAATTGTAAGATCCTTCAGTTGAGCAGTGAATTTCAAACACAAATTCAACCACAAGAAGGGCACCTATTGGTAGACGGCTAAAGAAATAAAATAAAAAACAGACATTGAATATCCCTTTGAGCATGGTGAAGTTATTAATTATACTTTGGATGGTGTATCAATACACCCAGTCACTACAAAGATACAGGCATACTACCTAACTCAGTTCCCGGAGAGGAAGGAAACCGCTCAGGGATTTCACTATGAGGCCAATGGTGACCTTAAAACAGTTACAACGTTTAATGGCTCTGATAGGTGAAAACTGAGGATGGATGAACAAGATTGCAGTTACTCCACAATGGTAGCCTAATTGACAGAGTGAAAAGAAGGAAGCCTGTACAGAATACAAATATTCCAAAACATGCATCCTGTTTGCAACAAGGCACTAAAGTAATACTGCAAAAAATTTGCCAAAGCAATTAACTTTTTGTCCTGAATACAAAGTGTTATGTTTGGGGCAAATCCAATGCAACACATTACTGGGTACCACTCTCCATATTTTCAAGCAGTGTGGTGGCTGCATCATGTTATGGGTATGCTTGTAATCGTTAAGGACACGGTGGAGTTTTTCAGGATAAAAAAGAAATGGATTGGAGCGAAGCACAGGCAAAATCCTAGCGGGAAAAACCTGGTTCAGTCTGCATTCCACCAGACAGTGGGATATGAATTCATCCTTCAGCAGGACAATAACCTAAAACACAAGGCCAAATCTACATTGGAGTTGCTTACCAAGAAGACAGTGAATGTTCCTGACTGGCCGAGTTACAGTTTTGACTTAAATCTACTTGAAAATCAATGGCAAGACCTGACAATGGTAAGTAAAAATACGTGAAAGTACTGTAGTATCTGAGGAATTTATGACTTTGCTAGTGGTTTCAAGTGGTTTTAGAGGATGTTGACTAAGCTTAAAGGCTGCATTTGGGGAGTAGTTCTATAGGGGCACCCTAAAGCTGAGGAAGTCTGTTAGGTGGCCTCCTGGGATTGGTTGGTAGGAAAAACCACCCATATTATATTACATAGGGCATAGGATATAAATACCACAGTTAAGACAAAGGAGGACAGAATAATCATATTTGAGATGGGGCGATTATTCTCCAGATATCGGCAGATATCTGTAAATTGATGCTGGAATACTCTGATATAATAAACCTTTATAATCAAAGTACAGCGTCAGCGGATTTCCTTGTTCTCACAGCATAATTAGCAACGTTTTCTCGACACAACAAAATGGCGACGAGGTATTTGGGACGGAATTGCGTTTTTTCTCAGCGTTCCATTCATGGGCGCCGAGCTGACTTTCGCTCCGAAGTCCGGCAGATAAGGGTGAGTTTTCTCACCACTTTGGGCTCTGGTTAGTTTGTGTGTCTGTGTGCGTTGAATGAATGCACCGTTAAGAACTTGCGTGTGTGCGTTGTTGGTTATATGCTGTGGGATAGGAGTCCGTTCTAAATTTGTTTGCGCTGGTGAACAATGCAAAAAGGGGGGAGTGTCTATAGGGATATTTTGCTTGAATAAAATTCAAGAAGAATAGATTGAAAGGAATAAGGCCAGGGTAAATGTATACATATTAGAACCATTGCGAATCTATGGAAAGCCCTCTTAAGGAGGCGATCATTAGGATGGGCCAAAAATCCTAAAAACACGTTAGGTGTATTTAGGTAAGTCCAGGGGGCTTGAGGCTGTGGTATATATATTCGGTTGCAAATTACCTCTCAACATGTGGTTGACGAATTATATGATTGATGTGACTGCTCATTTAATTTCCACGGACCTCGTGGTAGCAAAAATTTTTAACAAAGAAATTATACGGCGCAATGGAGGTAACATGCTACATGCTACATGATACATGCTACATGCTGCATGCTACCTTAGGGGTCCATAGGAATGGATTAAGCCTCTTAAACTGTGTGTAGAATAGAGTAGGATTTGTGTCCTATGGTTTGTGAGCTCTGTTAAGTGTTATTGTTTGTCTATGAGGTGTAAAAGAGAGGAAGTACAGCGGGAATGTCTACTTTCTGTTGTCTAGCTTGGAGAGAGCTGGGAGAGAGCTCCATCCACGCTGAAATCGTAGTGGTGTATGAACTACGCATGCGCGTGATTTTATGACTAGAGTTACGTAGGGCAAATGTGCCACTGTGCTGCGGGGAGACGCAGACAAAGAGAGAGAAGATTTAGAGACTAATAGTGTATTCTGGTTGTTAAAATCGGCTGTTGTTTAAAGATGAAACTGTTTTCTTGAGACCTATCGAATTGATAGACTAGAGATATGTTGATGGATTAAAAATAATTAAATAAATAAAATAAAATGTTATTGAGCTATTTATACTATTCCTGAGTTAAGTTGTTTGCTTATTTCTTAGCGCGAATGTGACTAGAGGAATATTGAATGGTTGAAATAACTCAGTGAGTGCATAAACTACTAAATTATTGTCTGTTTCTTTGTTATTCTGTCATATGAGAGACGATAAGAAGGAGGAGAGAGAGAGAGAGAGAGAGAGAGATGAATTACTGACGTGTACATCACGCGACAGGGTGTGCTGCGACAGAGTCTGCTGCAACAGGATCAAGTCAAATCAAGGCCAGTACTGTTCTGTTTACAAAACTTACCTTCCCATACAGGATATTTTGTGTGCATAGCATATTTGATGTTATGACAATTTGACAGTGTCACACCCTGGCTCTGGGACTCATTATGTTGAGCCAGGGTGTGTTCATTCTATGTGTGTATTTCTATGTTGGCTAGAGTGACTCCCAATCAGAGGCAACGAGTGTCAGCTGTCGTTGGTTGTCTCTGATTGGGAGCCATATTTATACTGTCTATTTTCCCTTTGTGTTTGTGGGTTCTTGTTCCGTGTTCGGTCATTGATACCGTGGACTTCATGAGTCGTTTCTTGTTTTGTATTGTGTTTACACTTTAACTAATTAAAGTATGTTTGTTCATCACGCTGCGCCTTGGTCTCT